TGACCAAGTATTACCATCACTATGAATTGATATGAAATCAAATGACCAATCACATTACATGTTACACTCAACCCAAACATGCCCTAAAGTCTTCAAGATTAAATCTCATTAAGGTTTTTTTGCAATTGATATCGATCTACACATTTACATTTGTTGTTTGTATTCTTAATTTGAACGTAAGATTACTTATAATTTAATTATGATTAATGCTCCGTTTGGTATGATGAAAAAATAGAAGGATAAAAATTTGAAAGTTTGAGTGATAAATAAAATATTATGTTTGTTAAAGAAGAAAAATAGAAGAGATAGAAAAGTGGATGAATTAACTTTCCTTCCAACTCACCAAAATCAATTTCTCTAAAATCATAAGGAAAGTTAATTATTTGTGTTGAGATGTATCTTATTTGTCAATAAAAATACAATGATAAAATATATATTTATATATATTTTTTTAAAAAAAATAAATTAAAAAATTAAAAAAATTAATAAATTTAAATTAAAAAAATATTTTTTTCATCTTAATTAGAGGTGAAAATTTTCGACTCAATAAGATGACACAACTCAAACTCTACACAAATTTTATGACACAAATTTGATTATAACTCAACACAAACTTAAAAATGACCTGACACGCAAACAAAAAATATAAAATACTCATAATTTTATGACTCAACACGTATCTGACACGATACGATTCGATTGTCACCCCTAATTTTAGCTAGTACAAAAAAAAATTAGTCATTTTTATATTTAATCCATCCAACCAAACACAAAAAAAAAAGTGTATCATTCCTACTTTTCATCATTGAAGAATAAAAAGTGTATCCCTCCTATTTTCATCCTTCTTACTTTTCATCCTTCCTACCAAATAAAGTATAAGAGTAACTCGTGGTTGAAGACCTGATGCAACGTAAATTAATGTGAATGGTTTTAAAAAGAATGTTAATGGTCGTTGAATAAGTCTATTTGAGACTGTTATATACTCTATTTTATATTATAAATTATAAATTGATCTTTATTTTTTCTGTGATTAGCACCTACGTAAAGAAATACGACCATATCACCTTATTTTTATCGATAAACAAATTGTTTGTTTAAAATAAAATTTCTAGCTCCGCCGCAGCCAGATGTAATTGGCTAAGATGAAGTTCTCCATGCAGTTGTGCCTACAGTCTACAACCTGCTTCATGTGTAATGAAAGCTCATGTTAACATGGCTCAACGTCATGTTAGTCGGCAGAAACATGTGCAACACTTGGTTGGACCCTGTTCTCACGGCACGCGTCGGGTGAATTAATACCTCAAAGTCTCAGTCAATAGAGTGTATTATTAAACAAGTTGTTTATTTCATCAAACTCAAATGTGCAGACAAATGAAGGGCTTCCACTGATACGAGTCAACGCCCACAACCCATCACTAAACTTTTATTTTAAGTTTTGGCACTCCTAAATGCAATACAAATCACCATGTTAGCCTTTGAACTTCCATATAATTACAGATCAACACCCCTCATATTCACTGTCAAGGACCTTGAACCATTTTTTGAATTATGGACAAGTAGAGTTCTTCGATCATGGCCTGAATCAGATATGATCAAAACAGTCAGAACAAGTGCAAAGATGAATTAGGTACATCATATTTACTTAAAAGGGTACATTTAGGTCTCTTCTGAGTGGAAAGTTAAACGAGGCTGACACACGTTTTCATGTTAATGGTAATCAAGGGGATGAGTAGGATAAGTGGATGAGATTGAAAGAACTCGAGCAGGGACGAACCAATGCTCTCACCAACAGAAAGCTCATCCTCCGCAGTGGACAAGTAATGTGGGTATTTATAGAACAGTGTTCAAGTAGGTCAGGCTGCCCAACAGACTATCCGCTGCGACCCTCTAACACTTGCGCCAACCCATAACTATCTCGACCGTGGAGATACCGGTGACCGCTAACTACAAGCCCCGTATCTCAACATTAACTAGGTAAATTTAATGTTTCCTCAAATGTAGTCTGGACGTGACCCCCGATGAAAAATGTGGCAGCCGAGGCGAAAGGAAACTCCCAAGGTTAATAATCGCGACTGATCATTACAGAACCATGACCTCGAGAAGGCTATGTACACGATGCCTCTAGCATGCTCCTACTCAGGATCCTCCCTTCCCTTTGTAAACCCTTTCTTTAAGACTTTTGTCAAGCTGACCGATAGAAGAAACCCACATGATTTAGATCTTTCAGCCACCAATCCACATGTCTCATTATCTTATATGTTGATCCAGACCAATAACCTTAGTTACTTTATGAGTCCCTCTGGATCCTAGTCAAGCACATCCCAGTGGGTGATAAGTCATACACTGGAAAGCTTGCTTGGGCATACTAAACCTTCGAGACCATTCCCTAAGCTGAGGTTGACAACAATACTTGTTCGTCCCCATTGCTCAATTTTTCCTTGAGGGGGGTCATATTGACATGTCCCTATGTGAGGACCCTTCCTCTTAGTCTAGTGGACCAATTGAGAAACTGTGTCCAGTAGATAGAGGATACCAATTTTGTCGATTGTGCAATCCCAGCCATGTGTCCTGTTTCTACAGTGGAGGAGGCAAGTCATGCCAAGGTTGCCCCCAAACCTCCGTGGTGCCACTATTGTCCGTCCTTGGCCAAAGGTCCATTTTGTCATTTCTAATGTGATGAAAATGTGTCCTGCCTTTCTGTAATATTGGGCGTATGTCGTGGCACTTGAGTGTTATCACGGCACTGAGTGCCTGCTACAGCACTGGAGTGCTATCGCGGCACTTAGGTGTTGTCGTGTCACTGTTGTCTATACTCATTCTTATTGGACCTATTGAGCCCCACTACCATGTCAAATGATGATTGCCACCACTTGTCCTTATATAGTGTAGACACGCATCCTAAATTTATCAAGTACTATATCTCTCAATGGAACACGTCATTTCAAAATTTACTCAAACCTCATACTCGTTCACATATAATTGTATACATTAGAGTTCATATTACATCTAGTTTGTGCCACATTTAAGTCTTGTTTACGAAACTCGTTTATTTAGTGAGTCTAACAAGTTAATTTTATGTTAATTTCAAATCAAATTTAGGAGTCATGTTTAAACTTATCACACTTGAGTACAATTTCTTCACAAAGAGAGCTAAGACTGGATATATCTGATCATCTTCAAACTCGATAGTGACGGGAGCATAGGGTCGGCCAAGATAAAACTTGATTAGCAAGAAAATACCCCGCAGTCACCTTCAGCATGGGCATTTTGGTAGTTAACTATATGGCTGCAGTCTCCTATAAAGAAAAGGGCATTTTGGCCATTTTGACAGACTAAGTGTTAGTTTTTGGCTCTTATCTACACCACAGATTAGCTTGATTCTATATATTAAAAGACTTTTACACCTGCCTGCATTAGTGAACGAACCCAACTCAACCTACTTCATTCATCTTCTTCTGTTACACTTCCTCACCTCTATCCCACCATTAAGATCATGAGAATTCAACACTCCAATGGTATCCCAATCCTGTTCATCGTGTTGATAATACTCACCACGACCCAGATATCGAGTTGCCGTCAAATCCACAAAATCACCACTCATGGAACAGAGCAAAGATTTGTTCGAGGGTCTAATTCCCAGTTTTCATCTCATTTCTCTGCAGAATCTCCCAAAGAATCCAGAAACGGCGATGCCGACCCGATTTATGGAGTGTCACACCGAACAGTACCGGGAGGACCAAACCCACTTCACAATTGATCAGTTTTTCCATAGTTACTGTCTCTGTCTGTCTTGAATTACAGAAAGTTTTGCAGTTCTACTGTAAATTTTGGTATTGTTCTTTCATTTTTGGTTTGGTATGCTAAATTCAAATATGTATATTATAGACAGTTGAATCGAAACAGCAGATACATAGTAATAAATGAATCGGTTATAGTTCTTCAGCAACCTAGTATCAATGCAAGTGTTTGATTGATGAATATGATATACAATGCATACAAACTTTGCTGCAATACAAGGAATTCAGATGTCTATATCGCCGGAGACTTTGTCTTTCCGGCAGGGCCTAATATGATGCGGACAATTCCAGTGGTTGAAGAGCTCTATACATTATTGTTTTTCAGAATGACACAAAAAAATATCAGAAAACAAGTCAACTTGGTGAAAAGGGAGGGTTGGTGCCAAAAGAACAATGGAATTGAAGTATACAACAGACCACCAATCAAACTCCGTTATGGAACCGACTTAGAGTATGTAAGCATGAAAAAAACTGAAGCGGGGGTTACAAAGAAGTCAATTGAGAAAATTATTAGACAGCTAGCAATTATGCATTTGATGTTCAAACCGTAGCACTATAATGTTATTCCAACACTACTCGCCTGAATGGTGGGGCACTAGCACCATCTTTGCTCTTTTTTTTTTTTTTTGTAGAGGGAGAGGGAGAGGGAGAGAGGAAGGGCTTGAACCATTGACCTTAAGAAGGCAAAGTTTTTACAATATAAGTAATACTATTAGACAAAAAGCCCGTCGGTATATCTCTGCTCTTGTGGTGTCTTTAAATAAGGTATTAAATTGAAAAACAGGAGGTGGAGGTGTGTCCATGAGCATTATGTTTTTCCCCAAGTGGTCAAACTTTAGAATTGGAAGGATTCTGAAGTGTCATCCCAATTTAAAACAAGAACGGGATGCGACCAGTTTAACAATTATTTCATGACTTGTACAATACACATGCAGACAGATAGGCAATACCGCTTAATGGTCCACATTGAGGGCTTCAACTTCCATAATTGGGGTGATCTGATGATCAAGTTGTGTGTAGAGAGAGAGAGAGAGATAGAGAGAGAGGTGTTGTTTCTCATATGGTAAAACAATGTTTTTTTTAAGAATGAGATTAGGTGTAGTGTTTGAATTATTCAAACCATGTTGCTTTTCCTACTAGATCTCCTATGGTGTACCTGGTCCCTACACGATTAATCAAAATATATGCACGCCATTGACTTTAAACAATGAAAACAGCTCTTCTTCATCCAGAATGTGCACGTTTACATACAACATATCCACACAGTGACACAAACAAGAAAAGTCTTTCTTAGAACCTCCACTAAGTTTGAAAAAGAGACGCAGCAAGAAATAACACCTGTTCCTCACAGAAAAATGTAAAATCAGAATATAGAACAACCAACAAAAAGATGTCAGCAGGTTTAGATTCTTAAGTAGTTACCTGCCTGCTGTTACCTAAAAAGAAGACCCACCCATAGCAAGAATCTCTTTTTTTCCAAATTCCATTCATAGAAAAAGTAAGATGCTTGTATTTGGGTATATTTCAACTCAATGAAGCAGGAAATCACACTCTGAAACCAATGAAAACTTGTTACATAATCTCACTTCCAACCGGATCTACGGAGAAATGAACGGGAAGAGCCTTTTGAGTGATTGGCTGAAATTTTGACCTCCACATCTGCTTTTTCAAATATCAAATAAAAATCAGACTCCAATCACTTATCTCTTCAAGCTTTTATTTCAAAGAGGATATACAGATTTCCACCTTAAACTTGGAGCTTAGTTCCAAGCCTTATCAATAGTTGGTAAATTTCATGGCTCCCTTAAATTTTGACTTTTACCAAATAAAATGTCCAACATTTCAAGGGAAATTTTGGATCAGTTTTGCCTATGACCGAAGTAAAAGTAAAGCCAAAGCTTGAGAACTGGTGCTGGACCCCAATTTAAACTGATTTTTCTATCAGTTATTATACATCTTTAAGAATTTTAAGCATTGCGCGAAAAAATAAGAGGCAAAGAGCTCTGGGCCACATCTATGTGCATTAAAAAGGACTTGAGTGGAGAAGTAGGTGAAAAAAACAGCCAAAGAAAAGCACTCTTGAATGAAAAAATAGCTAATTGATAGATTAGGCCCCTTACATCATTGTATTCTGAACTCTTCATAAATATTTCGAGAGCATCAACTGGAAAACACACCAACAATTAGGAGTCAACCTAAAAGAGATCTCAAAATATGGGTTGCGTATAGTAAGAGATCTCACGTGACCGAAATCGTATCACTACTCCATGGGTATACTCCATATCGCTATCATCAATATTTGAACCTGAAAATGGAAATGAATGACAGCATGAGCTACCAGTACAACATCGCATACGGGATAATGATGTGAATGAGCTACAGTAACATATTGAGGGTGTAATTACCCTGTTATCAATAGACAGTAAAATAACCAAATCTAGTTGATCCAATCTTTCTTCAATTCATTTTGGCTTTCTGATGAAGCAGGTGCTCATTTTTAGGAGCAAATGGCACAGCAGTTACTAAAACTAGTAGAGCTAGAAAACCACAATGTTCAGATATGTATCACTCGTAACTTTGAACAACCTTGAGTAGCTTGGACAATCAAGGATGGAAAATTCAGAGTCAGCTTTTCCAGGGAAGCCAGTGCATCTTCAGCAGGCCCACCCAATGAACCTTCAAGAAACGCTATAAGAAGCACGAACTCCACACCATAGTTGAAATCCTGCCACCAAAAGTAACCCAACTCCTTTCAGAAACTAGTCAACACCCCTATAACCATACACAACAATCAGACTGAAAAACTGAACTGAAGGAAACACAACAATCAGTTGGAAAACTGACCCAAAAAAACAATCAGTTGGATCCATGCAATGTATAAAAATTAATATGTAAATGTAAATAAGAAACTGTCGATTGCTTCATTTTCAGTTATGAAATTGCTTTTATGCCGATGAAGCGGGGTTAAATCAAACAACAAAAGATTTGAGCAGACTAGCGGGTGTGTTTCTTCCAACCTCTCCTTTACGAAATATGGGAAGAATGTCATCTTCTACTTCAGATTCGAAATCCACATTATCTATCTCCTGTCAATATGTAGCCAAAATGAATCGATAAATTGCAATGGTGTAAAAGCATAAAGCAAGGTTATTTCAGCAGACACTTGGAATGAAATGGAAATTCAAAGGAACTGAGAGAATTGGTGTTTACATGTCAGGGCATACATGGCAGTAAGGCATTACATGGTCTTTAAGAACTCCCAGATAGAAAGGATTCTGGTAGAATTTTGCAAGGTATTCCCTTTTCTGGAATCGCATGTAGATAGCATGGGTATAATTTTCATGATTTTGACCAGAGATACGTCCTGGAGAAATGGTACGCCTCAGCTAAAAATTAAGAAAAATAGATACATGACATGGAATGACCATCTGGCATACTAGATAAAAAAAATTAACGCAGATAAACTCCCAACAACTAACTCTGCAGTCCACAAACTAAACCTAGTATTCCGGATTTGAAGCATAAATAAATAAACTAAGTAACAAAGTTGAGTCATGAATTCCGCAATTCGCAAAGTAAAGGAACAATTCTTCTTGAGCAACAAGAGATAGATAGACAGGCCTTTTGGAGATGCTGTATGGGGTACACTTATGGGATGTATGAGTTTCTTTCCAAAATGATCAAACTAACAAAAATAGTCATAAACACTCAAAGTGGTTTCCTACATTATCAAACATAGCTTGTTAACTAGAGGTAATAGGCCTCTACTATATAATCAAGCACAACAGGGGCTTACGGTCATAAAATGCCATTACAAAATCCATTCTCATAGTTGGAATCAACTACAAAGGCATTAACCCATAAGTCCAGCTAACTCTATGTCCTGTGCAATTTCACAATGATCAAATCAAAAGCTCACCTAATGATATTGCAATAATGCCGCCCATTTGATACTGGGTGGTATAAAGATAATCCAACATATCTTTCTCCTCCTCATCAGACAAGTTCTCCTTTGCTTTCAGCAGGCAAATGTGTTCCACAACATTTCTGAGAGGAATACAAAATGATCTGTTACCGCATATATATGTAAAATTCATAATCATAAGAAGATATCCAATGAATTGACAATCTGTATTCATATGGCATCATAAAACAGACGCTGCATATTAGGTACGCAAGGAGAGAGAAAAATCAGAAAATCTAGACGACTGAATTATATTATACTGCTGAAATTGAGGGGATGTGATATATAACAAAATGGCTTTAATAATTTATTACAATTTCACAAACGTAAGATATATCATTTTCAGATTAGTTGCATGGGGTATTCCTTCCCAGATTCCTGCATGACACTCCTGAAAATTTCTCTTCCTTCAATGAAGAATGAGCCGCTCATCGGACTTCTGCAAAATTGGGAGTTAAAATGCTCTGGGATGGAAATGTGGGAATGTCTTCAATGTCTAGGTTTATCCCAATTCTATTTGAAAGATTTTGTGGGTCCATCGAGTCTGCATTCTGTTTTCCTTGATGTATGAAACACTTGATGAGATTTCACATAGAAATTTATAACTGTCAAAGCCATCCAGTGAGAACTGTTTGCTGATATGTTAATATAATTCTAAGCCCATAAATCCTCTTACAAAATGCTCTCCCACAGAAGCACAGACATGTATACAAAGTAGTCAGAGGATGGAATTGTATAGCAGAAAACAAAACAAGGGCTGCAAAAGAACCTCTTCCTCTGCATAACAGTGCTCAAGTTCCCTCCCTCAGCAGTTGAAAATATAGCGCCTCGACTCTCCATTTGCCGCGAATGCACATTCATTTTCAAAACTCCATTCAACAGGGAAACTTGGTAGACAAAATAGATAACCAAAATTAATTGAAGTGCACAAAAATCCAACAAAAAACAGCCAAATATCCAAAGAAGACAACTCTTCTCAGAAATTTAATTAACCACCATGGTTCCATTTCCCTCTAGCATCGGAAAACATCTTCGAATCTACACGCCAGCAAAGCTTCTTATTCCGCTTAGCATTCAACTTCTTCACTGAATAGTTAGTCAAGAAGTAAATGAAGAATTGTGAAGCTGTAATGAAATTAACCAAACTCAACAGAGCGAAAAACATCTATTAATAAACTGAATATACCATCACCAACAGGTTGTCTTGCATAAGCTAGGATTTTCGAGGTTGGGTGGCTGAGGTAACATATAGTCAGATGAGAGCTTGAGGGACTCAAGCCATGAGTTCGAGTGTGCATTCTCTCTCTCTCTCTCTCTCTTTTCTTCTTCTCTTGTGTATGTGTAACGAAGGAAGCATCCCACAATAAATGGTTGAAGAGACAATTTCCACCGGTATAAAACGGGTGGACTAGGAAAAACGATTATTTAAAGTGAGGGGTAGGCTTGGCGCCTAATTATGGAACTATAATTACTATGTTACCCTTCCAATTTATCTTGCTTTTTCGTGGGTAGGAGTGCCACTACGTGTGGTGTACATGCCGGTATTTTGTATCGTATTCGGATCAAAATTTATAAAAGAAATATATATATATATATATTTAGTGTGTTCTAAGTGTCAAATATTAATTTAAATTATTTATTATACATATTTAATAATCATGTCAATTTTAAAATCATAACACCGTATTGGTAGCCCCTAACGGACACCCCTACTTGGGGGTAGGTACGTGCCCGTTGGATTTTCCTATTTTCATGGTAATGAAAATCTTTTGATCTCTCTTTTTAGTACTTATAAATTTTTTTCAATTTAAAATGAAAATCTCTTCCACGTCACCTACAGTCATCGGATAAATAATGAGACCCACTGATCCAATAACTACAAATAATTTAATATAATTTTTGGTACATATTTTTAGTGCACATAATACCGCTTGGTAAAGACAATTATTCAAGGTTAACTCTGTATAAATAGCCATTAGTCAATGTAACTCCACCTTGAAAAAGTTAATCACAAGAGAAAAAAAAAAAAAGGCCCAAAAATCTATCACTCGTGCTTATCGGGCTAAGCGATGTAGTGGGAAAAAAATCTGGAACTACCAAAAGAGTAGATAACATGGTTGGAATGCCATCATGAACGGTTTGACATAGGAAATTTTCATGACTAAAAATAGAACATGCTACTGAGACAGACGAGAGAAATTCTAGGAAAATTTCGGGTACCCCTGGTTTGATTTTCTTGCATGACTGCTATATGCCCTCTTGGTCTCATTGGTTAGTAGCGTTGCAATACAAGGAAACTCACTAAGCGATGCTGGATGCATAATTTATGTTACAATCACAGCCATTAAAATGAAGCTTATGTACCATATCTCTTCATTGCAACTGAAGCAGCACTGCGCCGAACTAACAATAATCCAAGAAGTCAATAAATGACACAACAGATTACCCAACAGAAACTGGTACCAACAATGGTTGCCTGAGTGGCTACAAGACCAGGGCATCAAAAGCCAGGAGAATAGTCTCCTGCGTCTCATCATTCTCTACTAATGCCCTACTAACCTCTTCTAGTAATAGATCACAATAGAGCAGTATACTAATCAGGTTCTTTCCATGAAGGGCAGCCATTCAAACCCCAGATTTTCCACTTCACAAGCCCAACTTTGACATTCCGACATTCAATGGTACGACCATACAAGAAGGTCCAACTGCAACAACTTGACAGGTTATCGTGAACCAGGGACACTGAGTTTCTCGAAAAGCTCTGGAAGGTGAGCGTTGGTTAGCTTGGTCCTCTTGCTGATTTCATGCTTCTTCTTCTTGGGCTTGCCCTTCGTGGTAATGCCATGAACCTGTGCTGCAGCTCTCCTCTTCGCCGTGTTTGTAGCAGGCTTCATTCCGTTCTTCTGGAGATCCTTCTCTATGTCAATCATATCGCGTGGCAGTTCAATACTCCGGAATAACAGTTTCAGGTCATCATCAACCTTGATGGGAACTCTCGGATCATTTGGGTAGGCTATGTCCTCCTGTGAGTCGAAATTCGATAGCAGCCAGATTTGGCCAGCAGCTTTCAAAGACTAGCAAAACACAGAGAGTAGTAAAAAACTCTACGTTAAAAAAATGTTTTGCTATATAAGGCATTGTCGAAAAAAGGAAAACACAAGCAACTTGGCTATTACTTCAGCTAGACACACCACCTAAAACACATTCCATAAAAGAGAGACAATTTACCTGTAGGTCCTCCATGACAGTTGGGTATGCATCCTTGAGGTCAATTACTGCAATACCCTCTGGAGATTTCCGTATCAAGAAAATAAGCTGATTCTTGTCTTTTAGATCATGCTTGGACTGTAAAATAATTATAAATCAATCGATTATCCTTGCGGAGAATGGGTGAAAAAAGAAAAACACAAAAAGAAGGGTTTTGTACAAAACTTTTTTTTTTTTTTTGCTGATTACTGATTAGCCAAAAAAAAAAAAGATATAAAATACTAAAACGTTTGCTAATTCAATAGGGTTCAGCATTGCAAAATTAAAATTACCTTGTAAGAGAAGTACTTGCCATTGTAACTAACTTTTAGGTTGTTCCTCAGGCTGTCAAAGACAGCCTTATTGGCATTCACATCAACATAGCACACTTCATTTATTTGCTCCGGTGTGAAGGCTTGTCTTGTCTGCAGGCATAGAAAAACTACATAAATCATGGGACCTTCAGTTAATCACTATTCGTAATTAGTCCTAATCTAAAATCACATATCACTAGGATTTACCAACAAAAGCTTACACAAAAAGGGAGATAAAGTCATTAATATAAACTTCCACTTATAGCAGTGTATACAGCCCAAATTACTCCAGGAAGTCTCACGCAATGGCTCCTTGGTACTTATCCTTACAGAAATGCAACAGCTCCTAGATTACCTTCTTCGTTCCAGGGACAGTGATACCTAGAAATTCTAGAAGGTGAACAAGTTTTTTCACGCTTTCCCTAATAGTGTGGGAAGCCTATTGTTGACCTCATGCCAACCAGAGGAACTTCAGAGTTCTTATCACTCTGATTGGGGCCAGCATCACAAGCTGGGATATCGATCCTTTTGACAACTAATTCCCGTTGTAATGTAGTATATCAACTCAAAGAAGAAGAAATATTGTCAAAGATGCTAGCAGATGGTCTAAATGATAAGGTACTGGATAGCCACTTATGTAAGGAATAGAAGAAGAATAAACAAAAGAAAGAGGAGATTAAGAAGGAGGAGAAGAAACAAGCAAGTAAAAAAACCCCTCCATACTAGGTTGATATGATATCTAACCCTAATGCTTGTCTGGGGGGTGGCACAGGGGTAGAGAGCTCAAACTTTAGCATGCAAGTCAGTTAATCTACTATCCATCATTACCCTTATCCTCTAACACTTGCTAGCTTGATTATCGAGAGTTATGAAAGGCCTACCGGACCGATTGCCTAGCCTTTACAGAGCTTATTGCTAAAGATAAAGAAATAAAGCATGTCCACCTCCTTCCGCCTTCCTCTTTTCTAATTCCAAGCTCATAAATAGATAGATATCTGATTCAGCAATTTTTAGCCGAATCTAATAGTATCCGGCAAATTAAGCAAACAACTAAAAAAACCAAAATTATACACTTCCCATGTAATAATAAAGAAAGCACAAAACAGATATATTAATTTCAATACTCCCAAACAATTTCCCATATATCACATGACCACCTAAAACCTCCTCAACTCTTGAGTTTCAAGTCTCTCAAATGAATGTGGGAAACCTACTTCTATTTATCTGCAAATAAATAAAACAAGAACGAAGCAAGCCTTGAAAGTCTCTGCAGTTGCAGTATCTTATATGATTAAAAATAGTCATGAGCGAGAGGTGTTCTTCACTTCAATCAAGGACTTGGTGGGTTTGATTATGATGTTGTTCGTAATAGGCTCAACTAAAGTTGGAAAACCTCGTATCAAATACATTGGTTAATCTTTCTAATCATTATTTACCCCCATATTTCAATCAAAGTCATATTTAAGTTGCATTATCGAAATTTAGTCTTTTCTCAAACCTTCAACCAACCTCTCTAGTCTGATATTGTCCTAGTACCACCTTTCATATAACCATCTAATGAGGATGATTAAGTTAGCAATTCAGCATCAATAAAATATAGAAAGAATGGAATAAAAGAAGATAGAAGAATGAGATGTGCACCTCGAGCAGCAAGTCTATAACCCGTTTGATCTGAGCTCCTACAGGGGCTTTACGTATGCTGTTAATGTGTTGGAGTCTCTCTGTGTCGTTTGAGAATTTGATTGCAGGGGCAGGAGACTTTGCATTGGCTGAAGCTGATGAGCTATAGGGTGTAACTTTCGGCGTTGTTGTTGCCTTTGAAGATCCTGCTTTGGCTGCAATGCTTGTAAGGGTTGTCTGGCACTTTTCTTGCTGCTTCTTGAATTTATTTAAACTTTCTTGCAATGATGCCATTTGAAGATGAGAATGATCACTTGATACCAAAAAACTATAAAATCAACAAAAGAGAATGAACAGGTTATAAAACAAGTTTGGAACAAGGGAAAACTCAACACCTCCTTTTTCAGACTTATGATAGTCCACAAAATCTTGAGTTTTGAGGACTAAAATCAAAGATGACAAGGAAGATCAGCCATCGGCAGCTGGAAAATCCTAATCCTAAATCAATTCACATTGGGCCGTAATATCCAGTATATATATATGCACACACACGGATGAACAAATGCAAAAAGCACCATTTTTACAGAACCCATCAACACAAAATTATAATTACCACACAATCTTCTGGACACAAGGATCTTGTGTCCATTCTGTTTTACGGAAATGAAAACCATGTTTGTAATATGGACAAATTCCTCAGATCAGCAGAATAACATATATTAAAATTCTTGTTGGGTATGCATTGTTAAAATGTCACACTAAAGGCTAAACATTTTTCCCTTCAAATCAATCTCACTAAACCACAAAAATTGAAAACAATTAGAACTGATTTTTGCATTGAAATGTATGCTTATTAAACGGAATCTTTTTCACTCTCTATCAGCCATTATTATAAGGTCTCTTGGGTGAATGTTTCCAGCCTTTTTCTTTGTTCAGTTGGTCATGTTATTTCCATATGTTAGTTAAATCACAAATACCTTTCGGCTTTTGACAATGCGCATTAACTCTAAAATCTGCTTATGTGTGTTTATTATGAATTATAGTGTTGGCCTTCTCAATTGATAGGCAAATGCATTAGGCACATAATTCATTTGGCTAGGAGAATTTGGATGGAATATCACGAAGAATGAGGAAATCAAACGACAATGTAGCCTTACAATTTGAAGACCATATAATTCCTTTCAGTTTCACATTAAAACCCAAGCTCATCCCCAGCAATACAAATGAATAAACTTGTCAACATAATTGTGATGGGTCTCAGCTATTCTGGGGGAGGGGTAGCTCATCCCCAACAATACAAATAAATAAACTTGTCAACATAATTGTGATGGGTCTCAGCTATTCTGGGGGTGGGGGTGGGGGTGGGGGTGGGGGAGGGGGCTTGAACCCTTGACTTCAAGTAAGCAAAACTTTCACAAAGTAAGGAGCACTATTGAATCAAAAGCCCATTGATTTGTTGTGATAATGACAGAATGCTCTAGCATGTATCAAGCCTACTATAGATTGACACAGGTGTCATATCCGACACGATACAAACACGGGGATATGACAAAATCCCAAAATATAGGATAGGGGGATACGGATAATTAAAATAATATTTATATAATAATAATAATAACTAATAAGACCAAGCAAACATTAATTTTTTTTATTATAATTGAAATAGATTAAAGATTCAAAATAAATATCTACCAGTTTGAATTTTATATGTACACAGGCCAAAATCAAAATTCAGAATCAGATATATAAGCAAAATCAGATATTGGCATGAGATATGAGACTAGGTCTTATGCACAATTACACAACAACAAACAAAAATCAAGTTAGTGAGCTTAATGAATGAAAAACCCCCAAAAAAATTCGTTCAAACAACAAAAACACCAAATATTTTCAAAATTTCAAAACCCAATCAAATTAACAAACCAAATAATTTCAAACACAAATAGCAAAATCAATGCACAAATCAATCCCAAAACATGCAAACCACAAAAATAGCAAAACCCAAAAAAAACCTCAAGCAAATCGTTGAAGGCTTTAAGCAAATCCGAAACAAATGGCGATATCATTGGGGCTGATATGCCGAACACCGGAAGTCTTCTCCAATTCTCCTCCTCTCTAGCCCCTTAAAACGTTTCATTTTCTTTTCTTTTTCAAGCCCTTAAAACAACGATGTTCACTTTTTTTTTTTCGTTTCAACCCCCTAAATTTTTTAAAATAACAAAACTTACGTATCGTATACTACTAGTATTCGAGTTGTATCTGACTACAAAAAATCTTTGTTCACCGTTCACGACACCTGTAGTCCTATGGATATGGGTGGAGCTAGGTGTGGCCACACTCAAATTTTTGTATGGATATTATATATATAAATTTAAAATATTTATTGAGTATACTTAAGTATGTCCACCATATTACATTTTACCATAACAATTAGGGTAAAATCATAACTAGATAGTAATAACTTTTGGTAATGCTCCAACATGTTACAGACATTTCTAGATAAGTTTTAAACATATTAAAGTCATTTTTGTGATTGTTAAAAAAATATATGATTAAGTTGTTATTTAATAAATATAATTGAACGGACATGAAAATTAGGATCACAACTTATAATTTCAAAACGAATTGTAGTTAGAAAAATCCAAATATAAATATGTTTATCTAATGAGAATACTTTAATCTAACCAAAACAAGTCACCACCTAAGAAAGAGAGATTGAGAGAGAGGAGCGTTCCTTTGTTAGTTTAAAGGATGTCTTCTACTTTTTGGTCCTTTTGTATCTATTAGATTTTTGAGTATGAAATAAAATATAATAAGATATAAATGTGTCATCTAATTTTTTATGAAATTGACAAAAAATTTAAAATTTATTCAAGTGCCCACCATAAAAAGATTTTTTGGCTCCGCCCCCAGTTTGTGAAAGTGTCGGACACATGTTCGACACCGCCACGTTGCCCCCGGAGAATATCCGTACTTCCTAGGTTTGATGGCAATTGTTTCTCAATGTATGCACATCAACATAAACAATGCTTGTGCATGAACAAACAATAGGGAAGAAAACAATGTACAAAACTACACATTAATATAAAAGAACACTAACAAAAAACAGACTAACATTGGTGAATATAAGCCCATTCATGAACAAACCACAAACCCAAATAGAGAAATGCACATTAATATGAGCATGTGCATGTAATGTATGCATATATGTATATATAACAACTCTTTAGAGCCGCTAATTACAAAATACTCACCAATTGCATATTAAAAAAATATTATGAAACCTAAAACTTAATGAGGAACAAAATCACACGACAGTAGGAAATTTGCATTCAAGGAAAGGAGAACCAAAAATATCAAAGACGATATAAACAAAAATTTGAAGCCTATATCTGTCTTATGCATTCCACTTGTTTAATTGCAGGATTTGAAGCTCAATTGAAGAAATCTCTTCAATTTGCATATTTGGGTTCACATCATTACATTGTGCCCGATATCCAAAAAAATTTTTAATAAGTTACAGAAACTGAACCCAAATTTCACGCCAACGAGCATCACAATCCCTAAATTAACATATTTTCATGTAAAAAGCTTGAACAAACTAAGATTCACATGAGATATGTCGGTACCTAGATCGTTATACACATACACCCCCTTTAGGTATGTATGTATACAAACATATTATAACATATAAGACTAGGAGAGCAAAACGTGTGAAATGATAGAGGAAACACACCTGAAGAGGTCAGAGATGCGATGCCGATAGACCAGTGTGCTTGTAAAAATACAAAAAATTTATACTAAAAATCCAAGCATTGATCGTGGACATGAAAAAATAAGCAATAACCCGTACTTAAAGACACTATGTAATGAAAAAAATTGTCAATCAAAAAATAGAAAAAGAAAGAATTCATTGGCATTATTTGTACAAATACATGGAACTATAACTATGCACACCAATATTAAGAAATTAAACAAATATATAAAAGCAACTGTAACTCATTTACATGGAGGCAAAGATACCAGTGGTAAAAGAAAAACACACTATGCACACAAATATTAGAATAGCAAACAATTGAAAATATCTTCAAATCACATTGGTTACAACAAATCCACACTATAGTACTCCATCAATTTATCTACCAATCCAATTATCTGTTCAAAAGAAAATAACCCAATAAAATTTCTAGTTTATAATCCCATAAAGAACCCACAACAGGATTATGTGTGTGTTTTAAAAATAGCAAAGGATGTGCTTTGAACTTTACCTAATATCTATTCTTGTCATTCTTGAATTTGAACAGTTACCATGGATTAAAATTCACATGATATATTTAAGGAAGATCAACTCACAAACAACAAATTCAGAAAATTGACTTGATGACTTGGAACATCAATGCAAGTATCAAATTTGTAAAACCAATTTCAGAGGTGCTACTGATATATCCTCAAATTAGCAACTATAACGGATGGTCGTTGCACGAAAGCTCAAGTCGCACACCTAAGTTATTTTAGAGTAACATTTAGAGTAACATGGGCAGTTTGGGGGAAAAATATGTATGAGATAAAATTCAAGTTCCTTCTTAATTTTGAGAGGGATGTTAGTGACCGTTGGATGAGTCTATTTAAAACCGTCAGGTGGACTTATTGAAAAACATACAATCACAAAACAGTAATATTCACGCAAACAACCAAAACAACCAAATTTAACAAAATTAACCAAATCAACACAAAATTAACCCAATTGAATGGTGAACTAACAGATGTAAATAAGCTAGAAGGATTAAAAAATAATGAATATAACAAAGACTTGTGAATTCATTCAATTGAATGGTAAACTAATCAAACTAAGCAATGGTGCAATAATATTATCATTTGCGATTACCATCTATCAGATGAGTCAAACATAACCACAATCACACTTAACGAATGAAATTAATTAAAAAAATTTGGCATTCAAAGTAAAAAATAACCAAAAAAAAAAAAATAGTACACACACATGTACAGGATTAGAGAAGAATAACACAGTGAATGCACATTACAGAGTATCTTGTTCTCAAGTTCTTCATGACATTGAAAAGAATAAATCAAAAGCCAGAAATCTAATAATGCTTTAATTCCTATTTATGTAAGCAATTATATGTTTTATCACTACACCTAAAAGGTTACGCCATGTTAATGTTATCCAAATTATATACTCATTAATAAAAATAACAAATTATAATATCTAAATCATATATATTCAAATTCACACTGAACACATACTTATTGACTAAATTCACAAACCAATAACATGGCTCATATCACCAATGCTTCAATTTTTTTAACACATTCATTAAAAATTCAACATAAGCATCAACTCGCCCAACCCTTATACCCAAAAACACCAACCTATCACCACCACCCCTACACAAAATCATTAACATGTCACCACCATCATTCTAAGATCATAGAACTTAAGTATCTCAAAAATAAATCCTTTCAAAATCGAACCAAATTTTAATATACAATTACATGTGGCGGTGGAGATAGGTATAGAAGGCTTAGAATGAAAAATGAACACACTTTCACATACCTTGAACTCCAATTTCATTCAACTAACAATGCAACTCCCAATAAATTCCTAAATAGACAATATCAATTTCATACAACATCAATTTTCAAATGGGTATGGAAGCAATCGACATACTGCTACGAATTAGATAGTAGAATTCATCTATTAAGTCTAATGTTATCTCATAATTTTTTTGGGATTGTACATAAAGTCGTTGTTGTAGTAATTAAGGAGTGTTGTATGCATGAACATCATGTTTTGAAGTTGATGGGTGCACTTGACGATATGCATAAGATTGGTTTTCAGCTTAATTACCCCTGTTATAGCGTTCTATTGGCGCACTTAGTTAAGTTGAATATGGGTTTATCATCATTTTAGGTTTATAGGAGAATGGTAGATGATGGGTTTGCCCTTGGTGTTATTGATTACCATATCAGACTGTAATAAATGCTTTATGCAAGAATGGGTTTGTACAAGCTGCTGAAATGTTCTTTTCAAGAGTTTTGAAACTTGAGTTTTTGTTGGATACTCATATTTGTACCTCTTTAGTGGTGGGTAATTGCAAGTTAGGTGATCTCAATGAGGCCTTTCTAGAGTTTGATAAAATGTCTAAAGAGGATGGTTGTAGTGTCAAAGGAAGAGATGAATGAAAAGAGTTGACACCCAAGTACTCATACTTACACTGTCCTGATTAAAGCTATTTGTGATGTAGGATCCACTGATTAGGCTTTTGCTTTGCTTGATGAGATGGTCAAGAAAACCAAATATTCACACATACGGTATTGATAGATAGGCTATGTAGAGAAGTTAGGATTGGGGAGGCTAATGGAATGCTCAGAAAAATGTTAGATGATGGATTGGTTCTTCGCACAACAACTTATAATGCACTGATTAATGGTTACTGCAAAGAAGGAAAATTAGTTTCTGCTTTTGAGCTTCTTGGCATGATGGAAAGGAGGAATAGCAAGCCCAATATCCGTACATTCAATGAGCTTATAGAGGGATTATGTAAACCCAATAAATCTCACAAAGCAATGAAACTTTGATTAGGATAGTTGACAATAGGCTATGGCCTGATGAAGTAACCTACAATATTCTAGTTGATGGGTTTAGCAGGGTAGGCCAACTTGATATGGCTTTCAGAGTATTTAATTCAATGAACTCCATTGGCCTTGAACCTGATGGTTTTACTAACACTAAATTAATTGATGGGCTTTGTAAAGAAGGGAGACCAGAGCAAGTAGATGGGATCTTGGGTTTGATGGTGAAGATGGGAATATTCCCAGATGAAGTAACATTTACAGCACTTATTGATGGATATTGCAAGACAAGTAAAACTGCAAATGCCTTGAAGCTTTTTGAGAGAATGGTCAAGAACAGGTGTTTGACTACACCTCATGCATTCAACTCATGTCTTGATGTTCTCAGCAAATAAATTATGGTGAATGAACAAAATACAATGTTTGGAAAGATGCTAAAGTACGGCCTAATTCCTTCAGTGGTAACTTATACCATATTGATTGATGGGCTTTGCCGAGCAGGTGATACTACCCACTCCTTGAACGTTTTAGATCTTATGAAGCAGACGAATTGTCTCCCAAATGTATATACATACACTGGTGCAATCAATTGCCTCTGCCAGAATGGTAAAGGGAGGAAGCAGAGAATCTTCTGTATAAGATGTCCAATTCAGGAGTCTCTCCAAATGACATCGCTTATATTGTATTATTGCCAACTAAACAATCATGTCTACTGTGCACTACTTGCCGGATTCGAGTTCTATCAAGCTATGAAGATTGGATAGTTGCATAGGAGCTTGCTTTGGTCAGAGTAATAAATTGAAACACTAAACATCAACTGAAGTTCTCACAACAAACATTTACAAAAAAATATGAAACAAATACAAACAATGGCACATTAGATTTCTTTAAAAAAAAAAAAAAAGAAAGAAAGAATAATACAATAATAATTTTTTTTACATATCAGATGAAGAGAGCACACCAACAGTTCTGAGTGACCTAGAAACATAAATCGTTGCAAATTCACATAAAACAGCTCCATAATTATACAAAAAATGAAAAATGCATACACATAAACTATATATATATATAGAGAGAGAGAGAGAGATTGGAAAGATGGATAGATTGGAAAGATAGATCTGAATTGAGAAAGGTAGAGAAAATGAATAATATTTCAAATAGAGAACAAATTAGGGAAGAAAAATCAGAGTACCTAATTGGTGTTTGAGCCGTGGAGTGTAGCAACGAACAGAGAAGAGGGATCAGTACAGAGATGATCAGGCGCTGCAACTCTGGGTTTTGCGATCTGCCTTGGTCAATTAGATTGCGCCAGGTGCGTACGATACACAGCAGATTAACAGAGAGAGAGGGAGGGAGAGAGCGAGAGAGAGAGATACCTGGGAGGCAGGTGGATGGCGGTGTCGCTGGGGCGATGGTGGAGTCGGTGGAGATGGGTTAAGATTTCAATAATAATAATAATAATAAATAAATAAAACGATAGCCCCAAAAAAGGCGTATGCTACATTTGAGATAAAAAAAAAATTATAAATCATGACTTGCCTCCTATTTGTTTTCTTCATCGGCAAAATCATTCACGATCTCGATATAACTCTTTTTTTTTTAATAATCCAGTATACGTGATTCTCATCGTTACAGAGTCTACGAGAGATTATATACTGAAAATTTTTATCCTCCATAAAAAAATAAAAATAATACCTTGTTTATTTAAAAATTGTACCAAACATGAATTATAGTTTACCCCAAAAAAAGAGGAAAAAAATTACTCATTTGCCACCTACAATCGGCAATCAATTTTGTAAGTTTGTCTATAGTTATCAATAATTGTTCATGATTCCCAAACATTAACATGATCATATGAAAATCTCCACAAGCTCAAAGTGACAATTTTTGTCAATACATAGATGTAAATACCTTCTACTAGATACAAGAATACTTTAAGATATAATTATGGTAACAGTAAGGAGTGAAAATATTGTCATGGTGTCTGAGAGAAAGAATGAGAAGGAGAGATGATGCCTAATTGATGATTTTGCAAGCAATTGTAAGAAGATTTTTTTTTTTTAATATCATGGTGGTGCGTGTAGATTATATTTGTGAATTAAGATGTTGGTCTTTATCGAAGTAAGATATGGTTTTGAGAAGTTAAGTTTCACTTGATTACCTCATCAGCTATTAATTTCGTCGTAACTAAGTCTCTCTGGCAATTTCAACCGTTAGATCAACGTTGAAATGGATCATATTGGGCTAGTCTACAATTAATCTAACAATAGAAATTAATAGAAGGATTTTTTGTGCTTTCTCGGATTTCGGGTTCCAAACCCCTTGAGTAGTAAACAAGACTGTTAAGAGCAAAAATTTTGTATAGCTCCGTCAACTTTTATAGAATGAAAATGTTTATGGACCAATATATAGTTCCAATAGCAAAAAAATTAGAATTGTTGACGGCTACGAAGGATACAGAGTGTTTGGGCTAATTGTACTATTAGTCAATTACACTCACTGATTATTTATGCGCTAACTGAACTTACTTTGTAGATAAGGATCATTCCGTAGCATGTTTCGGGCAAAGTTGAAACCCGATTCCCTGGACTCCTAAATCTAGTTTTGATTCAAATCCCTCCTTAACCCTCGCCCTGCTTGCACCACAAACCTATCATTATCCCTTATCAACCACCCTCATGTCTACAATCTTGATAGAGTCTTTTAGAATTAACACAACAAATAAAGAGAAGAGAGAAAGGGAAGATTTGTGATGAGATTGAGATAACGTTTAAGTGGATCAGATTGAACTAGTATACAGTTGATCTAACGATAGAAATTAATAGAAAGACTTAATTAAGATAAAATTGATAGTTGATAAATTAAATGAGAATAATTAAGAGACAAAATTATAATGAAAAATAAAATTCAGAGACTAACTATAATTTTTAACCTTAATTTAAAAGGCAGATGCCGCTGCCTTGCACTTGAAAAACTATTTCGATCCCCTAAAGACTAGGGGAAGTAAACAATGGATCATAGAACCTTGATAGTGTCTGTTACCCCATTCCTACACAAATGACTCAATGGATTCAAGCGATTCATGGATAAACAGGACTCATGGGCCTGGGGCACACCGTCCTAATGGCCAATTTACCACTAACTCAGCTTATGGGTTAGTGTTATCCCCTTAGCTCATTGGCGGCATTGACATATGGCAGCCTCGCCCAAAGGCGCCCACGCCTTAGCTAAAGTGGCAGAAGTCTCCTGCATGGCTGAGGGAGACAGTCTATACACATGGGCACGTGAGCACAAATTAACATGCAACCAAGGAAGCGAGTGACTTTAATTGTGGGGCAATGCTAGCTTTAATGATTGAGTCATGGGCTGGGCCATGGTTAGGCACAAATGCAATACAATTCGAATGCTGAGCACTCCTAGCCTATGCACAACGTGTGAGGAAGTTGGGCATGTGCCCTGCAGATGATGGCAATTTTGTGCAATTTTTTATGACAAATGCAAAGTATGTGGGATCTCTGTCAGATTTAGACAGTATGTAAGGAAGTTGCAGACATCAGTTACAACTTCCTCTGACATCCAATTACAGCAGACTTCTAGGAGCATTTGAATTGTAGGAAGTTGCCTAGGCACCGTCATCCTGAACATTATAAATAGGGTGCCTGGGTCTGTAGTGCACCAATAGAGTTGGACATGTTTTTGTAAATAGACCAAAAATTGAGTTCCTTATACTTTATTGAGAAATAAAGGTTTAGCTTGTTGGCTTGTAAATTTTGTATGCTCTATCTGTGTGTTTATTTACTTTTCATTCTCTGTTCTTATGTACATTTTGTGTACATTCTAAGTGTTTGATTGAGACTAAATGTAAGATCTTAATGTCATCACAAGACAAAAATTTGGTGAGAAATTTAATCCCGTGATAATTAGCAGCTAGCAACCTGGAACCTTCATCAATCATAGGTGACTGAAAGTGGATCTGGAAGGGCCAAATTCATACCAGAGTGAGAATGTTTTTGTGGTTAATTGCACATGAGAAACTAGGTACAATGAGTCTCCTCCAAACTAGGAAGATCAGACCAGACCAGACCTTCATTACCTCAAGCAATTTACCCTCGTTTGCTTCTTAATTTTACTTCCAATGTTAATTCTAACCATGCCAATTTGCCATGGCAAATTTTATTCCCATATGCGTGTGCTAAAATTTGGAATGCTAGGAATATGAGAGTGTTTAGGGGTTGTGTTGGATGGATTTTTGGGGAGGGTTTGAATTGGTTTTTCAAAACTTTTAAAAATCCAAACCCCTCTTTACAAAGATGAAATTCAACATTGAATCCGATCTATACATATATTTGATATGTAACACATATACAAGGGCAGAGCTACTTGAGGACCGGGGGGGCACATGCCCACCCTCAATTTTTAAAAAAAATATTACTTAGATATATTTTAAATAATTTGAAGTATATTTAAGTGTGCCCGGTCTATCATTTTTTGTTCTATCAATTAGTATAGTCCCTGTACCTAAATAATTATAATTTTTTTGACACACATTGGACACTTTAGGTATACATCTATGTAAATTTTTGACATGTCAAACTCATTTTTTTTAAGCTATAGAGATTTCAATTAAAAAAAAGCTATAAAGATTATGACAACTATGTTACTGAATTAAATGAGTGATTAATGACTAATAGCTTGATCATATATATGGAGAAATATTATATTATCTTTTATGCAGTTTGTTTCATTTGTTATGAAGGGGTATAATTAGCCTATTTTGTTTGTTTGTTTTTATTTATGTATGCTATGTTTATCAAAGTTTCACTCTTTTCATATTTTATGAATTTTTAAGTATCGAATACAATATAGTAAATTTGAATATATTATTTTATTTTTATTGATTAGAAGAAAAAAAATTAAATTTTTTTAGTAAAGTGCCCACTCTAAACATAATTTCTGATTCCGCCCCTGCACATATATATGTAGAATCTACATATATATTATAATTATTAATAATTATTTATTTTTTAAATAATTATTTTACTTTTGTTCAATTCAATTCATACTCATAGTAAGAGATATAATTGTATTTTCGGACCCCCTGGACGTATTAATCAACAGCTTAAGGCTGACAGTAGGGGTGTTATGTATGCAAGACTTTTATGTACTACTTAACTATGGTATGCAAATTTCCTTTCAAAAAAAAAAAAAAAAAACTATTTCGGTAAATTAGAAAGGAAAAAGTATAATAATCCTTTGGGGGTGTGGTGATAATTTTACCAGGAAGCAATTGTTACAGCACTTGTTATATCCATCTTGCTCCTTGCGGTTAATTACAATCATGTCCAAGGTACTGACCGAAAAATGAGAAAGAATGAGACTGTCAAAAAATGCTAACTTTCTGACGTGGGACGATCTGGACCCTTTGTTTCTAATCCAAGGGCCGAGGTTGGGGAAAATTTCACTTGTTCACCACCGACTCGCAGAGAAATACATCGCGAGTCGCGACACGTGCCCCAAAACTCTCATTAAGTCTATTTCCATCGGACAGTACTTTTTTGGAACAAGTCCACTTCCCATCGCACTTCGATAAAGTGTGGGCCGTGTAAACCAGCTCTAGAGAGTGGAGGGGAGAGAGAGAGAGAGAGAGCCGATCATCGGAGAAAGTGCTCTTAATTTTGGCGATTTGCCTAAGATTCCGGTGAAATGGTGGCTGGAAAGTCTCCGGACTGGTTACCCTCGGGCTGGATCGAGCAATTTGATGTCAAGAACGGACGTAAAACTAAGGTAATCGAACCTTTTCAGCTCGTTTGTCTTACATATTTCTTGTTTAGGGTTTCAGTTCAGCTGAAGATATTACTTTTACAGTCGTATGAATTGGTACAGATCACTGATATATACATTCGCTAGGGATATTTTTCATAAATTGGTTGTTAGTTCATAGTTGAGCTATTTGATCAGAAGTGTTGGGTCATATCCATAAAAAAGTATAAAAATGCGACCTTTAATATATTGTCCTAGCTTGCTTACAGTGTGTGAGCACAGGTATGTGTGTCTAGCTAATTGTTTGCATGTGTTGGTTACGCATTTGGCTCGATGGAAGAGGAGAGGATTGTGTATGAGATAATGTGGTGTTCAGTTGTGGCAAGTGTTGAGGTTGTGCTAGTTAAAACTGCATTAATGAAATTTCTTAATGACCACCTTATTTATAGTCGTCTTATCTTGTCGAGTGTTACAGCGACTCAGTGATTTGGTGCTGTAAAATTGTCTAGTACCTGAAGAATTAGTGTGAATTTTCGTGGATGGGACACTTTTCTTGACTAAGAAGCACGAACACTACTAATACAGTGCCGTTTTGTTTCAGACACGGGTCGGACAGCCACCTGTGTTGGACATTCCACACAGCGTCTGACACTCCTTTGGTTGAGTGTATCTGAAGAAATAAAAATCAAATATTTTGATACGCCGGTTCTATGAGAATGTTCTTGTTTGCTTGACCCATGTCTTCACTTTGCAACAACGTATTTGTCAAAACACCTTGGTAATCTGAGTGTATCTCTTAGTTTATGCACATATAAATTTTTGTTGGTTTCATGAGATCTATTATCTTTTTGTTGCTGAGAAGATTTGGGGCAAAAAGAAAATATATTTTGGTATGATATTGCAATACGGAATGATAATCCCCAGAATTTCCTTAATTTCTTCAAATTCTTGTCTTGACAACATAATGGTAGAAGATATAAAAAATTTAACATAAGCCTAGGAAACAAACAGTAATCGGAAGCCAACAAAGAAGTAGTATTCCAAAACTGGAATATATGGCTACTGACATTTTTCATCAAGTGAGCCAATTGTGGAGAGGCTGCTCATAATGTATCTGGCTCTTGCAGTATTATTCCAACATGGATACGGGGCAAAAGTTTTATTCGAAGAAAGATGTAATTCGATATGTTACGACAGGAAATCTTCAGAGTGGTGCAGCTCAATCAAGTAGTAAGCGTAATAATAGGCGCTCAGAATACAAACCTGTGCCAGTGAGTTAGAAACTTAAACATTCTGTTGCAAAGTCTTCCATATGATTTGTTATTATATTTATATATTTTTCATAGAATCTTTACTTAACGACGCGTGTTATTGTTTGCAGATTGTAGTGAAAACAAATGAATCTCCTGACTGGTTACCTCAAGGATGGATCATGGAGATAAAAACTCGAAAGAGTGGTTCACAATACAAGGTATCAAATACAAACATCTTTTGATTTTCTTGGATAGATTCTGCTATGTGTCTTGCTATTTGCCTTTTCACTGTGGTTTGAATTATTCTAGCGTGGCTTAGTATTCTCTTTTGCTGTTGTTTTGAGGGATTCCTACTTTCTGATCCTCCAGCAGGCTTGCTGCAGTCCAAAAGTCTGCGCTCATACATCCCCGGTCTTCAGATACCAATCTTCCTGCATTCTCGAGTCTGGATACCCGCATGCTATTTGTGCGTTTGCTTGTGCATGAAATCTGCTATTCTGCAGTTTTGGTTAATATGTACTGAATCATGGGGAAAGTCGAGTGAATTTTTCGTGGTGCTCACAGTTTCTTTTCATTAGCTGGATCTTAGTTTTTCTCTATAGAGGAACACTGTCAAACATTATTTTCCAATTTTATTAGGTCATCGAAGAAGATATTAGTCCTTCTGATGATATAAGAAGATATATCCTTTTCCTGGAGGGGGACTATTTAACTGGTATCTGCATAGGAAAATTGAAATTATTGGTCAAGAGGAAAAATTATCATATAAGTTGTAGGTATTCACTGTGTATGATTGGATATCGAGCTAGTTTTAAGTATATCCATTCCATTTTTTTGTTCTTTGGTTGCTCTCTTTCTGCTTTTTTCTTTTGGTATGGCACTTTATGCTCTCACCTTGAATTGTCGTGTGTAGATAATGAATTAGACTATACAACATCTTCCAACTTTAGAAAGATTATCATTGAAGCTTTTTTTTCTAGAACTATCTTTGGGTAGTATTATTATTTTTCTGGTGATACCATTTTGAATCTCATTTATATTTTGGTATGTTGCAGTGCTACATTGATCCAGCAACTGGAAGCAAATTTTACTCAAAGGCAGAACTGTCGCGATATCTCGAAACTGTACAGTGCAACAGTGGAACAGCCAAAGAGAAGGAAATAGACATTGGCTCTATTAGCAATGTTTGTTCCTTAATCAACCACTTTTCACATTTTTGTTTTCAGTTGTCTTCCACAACACAAACAAGCTGAAAATAATCAATTATGGCATCTTATTTGTATACCAAATACACTATCTTAACTAGCTAGCCGATGTTGTTTAACCAGCTAGGGATTCAGTTTAGTTTAATCTAACATGTAGTAGTAGTACCAATAGTATTAGCCATAACAGTTTGGACCTCTTTAGGGGTTTAGATAAATTTAAAGTTCGAATAAAAATAAACCTTGTTGCAATCATATACAAGTTTCCGACTTTGAAGAGGTCTGTACGAAACATTAGTGCTCAAAACAGCAAAATATGCCTGTGAATTTGGAATTTAAACATTCTCTATTGCATTGGTTATTTTCAATTTCTTATGTTTCTAACCCTTTCAATACAATTGGACACCTGACAAGGAGTTATTATTTGCAGTCTGCAGTGAAAATAGATGAATCTCCTGTGTGGTTACCTCATGGATGGATTATGGAGGTGAAAACTACGAAGAGTGGTTCACAATACAAGGTATCTCACACCAGAAATATGGGAATCTTCTTGGATAGTTACTGCTGCATGTCTTGTGTTCATCTGAAATAGTGAAGTGATTTGGAGCACATGCAGTGGAAGTTGGGATGCAATATTTCTACACTAAGGACCAGTATTTTTCAAAAGGATGTTGGTAGTTTTGTGTCCAATTTTTCCTGAATAAATTAATTGGGAAATTGGAAAAAAAAGTTTCTCTTCCTTCTCTGGCATGTTTCTTGTTTTAATCTCTTAATTTATTAATTGAATCAGGTGTGACTTTGTGAGTGTTTCATACATGCAAAATATTGATCTGGTTTGGACTCAATAACTGGCTCCGTGAGTTGAATCTTAAATTTTTAAAAAATATTATTGAATAGTTAGGTCTTGGCTTAGATAGCCTCTGTAAGCCTTTTTGAAAGTGCAAACATAGTATATTGTATGCATGGCCTGGCTGCAGACAGAATAAATAATGAAGGAGTATAATGATGCCATGTTTAGATGAAGAGATTTATCCAATTCATGAAGTGGCTATTACACTGGGATCTTAATGTGGAAAAATTGAAATTATAGGTAAGGGGAACTGATATCAGCTAAGTTCTATATAGCATTTAGTGTTTGATTGGGAAATTCGAATTGGTTTTTAACCTATTCCATATTTTTCTTTTTAGTCCTTCAGTTTCTCTCTTTTGGCATGGCATTTTGTGCTCTCTGATTATCATTGTATATTTTTAAGTTCTTCAGTTTCTCTCTTTGGCGTGGCATTTTGTGCTCTCTGATTATCGTTGTATACCACTAACCTGCAATATTATTTGCTTGAAAATAAAGTATCTTTTCTGGGAATACATTTTGTCCATTGATGGAAGCAAAATTTTGAAATTGGCTTGTCATGTTTAAGGAATTAATTGGACTATAATTATCATTTATGTTGTTTTTTTTTTAAATTTTTTTTCCCTGTGGTAGTATTAGTTTTCTGTGATACCCTCTGTCATCTCATTCATTTTTCTTATGGCTGCAGTGCTACATTGACCCAGCAACTGGGCACAAGTGTTATTCAAAGCCAGAGCTGTCTCGATATCTCGATGGTGTAAAGTGCAACAGTGGCAAAACGAAGGAGGACATTGGCTCTATTAGCAACGTTTGTTCCATAATCAACTTGCTAATCAAATCTTCTTTCTAGGTGTCTTCTAGAATATACACAAGATGTAGCTAGTTGACATTCAACCTTTATGTTGATCTTACGGCAGCTTATTTGTGTAACCTACCAAATATTTGATCTTAACTCGCAAGCTCATATTGCTTAATCTGGTTTAGTCTTGATCCTTACAAAAGTCCAACTGTTATAGCTTAAGTTATTGGAGCAACGTGTTTGAATAGGTTTAATTTTAGAGTCTTATGTACGGTTGTGGACTTTGAAGAGGTGTCCGTGAAACTTATCTGCCTGCTACTAAAAAAGATAAAAAAGAAACTTGTTGTTTTGGTCTTTATGATGTTGACACATTTTCTGTCTGTAGTGTAATAAAGCATGGTGAGAAAAATGTGTATGATCAATTATGTTTTGTAGCAGGACATTTAAAAAAGTATGCTCAATGTATCTGGAAACTTATATTTGGATTTTACAATCTAGACTTATTGTAAGTGTGATTTTCTTTCAGCATGACCTTGGTGGTTCAACTGGGGAGGAATCCTCTTTGAAGCCAGATGTTTCTCAAAATAGCAAAAATGTAAGAAGCTAAAGTTCGACATCCAAACACAATAAAATTGGCGTTAGAAAGCATTCTATTAACAATTTTGTTTCATGAAATAGGATAATTCTTGCACGCTAATATTATATTTTTTAGCACAAAACATAGTTCTGATTGTTGATGTACTATCTAGGTTGTGGATGAGACTATCTCTGTGGAAGGGCTACCACCAGGATGGATTAAAGCAATAAGGACTAGGAAATATGGGAATGGTAAAAGGAAAGACCCGGTATTGAATCGAAGCTCTGATCCATAATTATTGTAATGTTTTATTGTGCTCCGCCCCCACCCCCCCACCCCCAACAAAAACAAAAAACAAAAAAAGGAAGAAAAAAGGAAAAAGCCCAGGCTGCCACGCACAGTTGCACAAATGTGCAATTGAATTTCTTGGAAAAAGAATGTAATGCATCTTCCATGTGGTCTGTAGTTGCATTCACTAAATGAGTTTTAATTCTGCACTTTGGAAGGATTTTTGATAAAGACCAAATATGTACAGTATTACATTGATCCCAAAAGTGGATACATGTTCCGTTCCACATTGGATGCTAAGCGATATCTGGACACTGGTGATATTGCTATATGCAAAATCAAGCCACAGAAAAGGGACATGGATATGGTGCCGAAAAATGATGACGTCTGGGTAAGGATGCCTTTGTTTGTAATCAAATTACTTGGTGCTTTATTGTTGCTGCAGTTTTTATCAATTCCCTTCTGTATCCCGTTTCCAAATGTTCCAGTTTCACACGTCCCTTTTATTTGAAAGCACAGGTGGTGGTCACTGGTGGAGTATTAGTACTTTTTTATAAGACGTTCATATGAGTACTAGTTGATCTTATCTTGGACAAATGTTGTAAAGATATATCTGTATGCTGCAGGGGTAATGCACGGTTGCATTAAAAAACTTAATCTGAGGCAAAGCCGCAAAGCTAAAGTTAGAATTATTACCTGTTTATTTTAATATTAACACTTGCATGTACAACAGTACAGGCACTTTGCTTCCAGTATTGTCATACTTGGTGAATGTACATGCACTCCGGCAAATGCAGAGGAACTTGCACCTACACACACTTGAATACGGAGACGCCTATAAATGCACAATACACAAGGCGGACTTAGTATTCCATTTATCATGTCTCTTTGTGCTTTTCTCTTTTTGCTTGGCACTTTATGCTCTCACCTTGAATTGCCATGTGTAGACAATGAATGAGACCATACAACATCCTCCAACTTTAGAAAGATTATCATTGAAGCTTTTTTTTTTAAATAGATCTTTCTTTGGGCAGTATTATTATTTGCCTGGTGATACCTTTTCTATCTCATTTATTTTTTGGTATGTTGCAGTGCTACATTGATCCAGTGTCTAGAAGCAAATTTTACTCAAAGGCAGAGCTGTCTCAATATCTTGAAACTGTAAAGTGCAACAATGGAACACCCAAAGAGAAGGAAATAGACACTGGTTCTATTAGCAATGTTTGTTCCTTAATGAACCACTTTTCACATTTTTGCTTTCTGTTAGTCTTCCACAACACAAACAAGCTGAAAATAATCGATCATGACATCTTATTTGTTTACCAAATTATCTATCTTAACTAGCTAGCCCATGTTTTTTAATCAAGTTTAATCTAAAAGACTAAATCCCTAAGAAGTCCAAACTGTTACAGCTTATATTATTCTACCTGTTAGGAAAATTTCAGGTTCAAATAAAAAGAAACCTTGTTACAATCATATGTAAGATTCCAACTTTAAAGAGGTCTACACGAAACATTGTTGCTCAAACACAAAATATGCCAGTGAATTTGAAATTTGAACATCCTTTATTGCATTGGCTATTTTCACTTTCTTATGTGTCAGCACGGGCAGAGCCAGGAAATTAGTCTTGGGTGGGCACTTCAACAAACTTGGTTTTTTTTACTTAGTAGGATGAAATATTTATATTTATTGAAATTATTTTGTCACAATAAAATCATTCAACATAATAGGGCCAAAAACTGGTATACATAAAGCATACAAACAAAACAAAATAAAAAAGATTAATTTTAACATTCTATATAAAAAAAAGATTAATAACAGTCAGTTTCTATTGATTCCAATGATTTTTTATCATTTGAAAGAGATGCACTTCATTACAAATACCATCAAGAATGTCTTTTTATATATATATATATATTATTCTATAACTCATTTGGTTATGCAAGCGAGTTTTATAATTTCTATATTTAAAAAATCTCTCTACAATAAAAATTACAATCGATATAATCAATTTCAAAGTTACAATAGGTAACCCAATGGATACACCATGTGTTTTTTAGTCTTAATTTTTTTTTTGAGTAACAACGTCAATTCGAACCTCTCCGAAGCATGTCCAAAAGTTAATAGTTATTTAGTTATGAGTCTATTCTAATGGACATCATAAGAAAAAAATAGGTTGGCCCAGTTAAATATGTTTAAAAAATATTTAAAACATACATGGTTAATGTTAAGAATTTTTTTGAGGGTGGGCACATAAGCCAATGGTGGTTCTGCCACTGTTGGTCACTGTAAATTGGTCATCTGACAAGGAGTTATTATTTGCAGTCTGCAGTGAAAATAGATGAATCTCCTGAGTGGTTACCTCATGGATGGATTATGGAAGTGAAAACTAAAAAGAATGGTTCACAATACAAGGTATCTCACACCAAAAATCTGGCAATCTTCTTGGATAGTTACTGTTGCTCATCTTGTGTTTATCTGAAAAAGTGAAGTGATTTGGAGCACATGCAATGGAAGTTGGGCTTGCAATATTCCTACACTAAGGACCAGTATTTTTTAAAATGATGTTGATAGTTGTGTCCAATATTTGCAGAATAAATTAATTGGGGAATTGGAAAAAAAAATTCCTCTTCCTTCTCCCCACTTTCGGCATGTTTCTTGTTTTCATCTCTTAAATATTTAATTGCATCAGGTGTGACTTTGTGAGTGTTTCATAAGGGCAAAATATTGATCTGGTTTGGACTTAGTAAGTGGCTCCATGAGTTGAATATTTAGGTCTTGGCTTAAAGATAGCCTCTGTAAGCCTTTTTGAAAGTGTATACCGGGTATATTGTATGGCCTATGGCTGCAGACAGAAAAAATAATGGAGGAGTATAATGATCCCATGTTTAGATGAAGAGATTTATCCAATTCATGGAGTGGCTATTACACTGGAATCTGAATGTGAAAAATTGAAATTATAGGTTAGGGGAACTGATATCAGCTAAGTTCTATATAGCATTCAGTGTTTGATGGGGAAATTCAAATTGGTTTGTAGCATATTCCACATTTTTCTTGTTTAGTTATTCAGTTTCTCTCTTTTGGCATGTCATTATGTGCACTCTGATTATCATTGTATGCTTCTAACCTGTAATTTTATTTGCTTGGCAATAAAGTATCTTTTTTGGGAATACATTTTGGCAATTGATGGAACCAAAATTTTGACATTGGATTGTCATGTTTAAGGAATTAATTGGATTGTAATTATTATTTATGTTTATTTTTGTAATTGTTTTTCCGGCGTTATTGTTGGTTTTCTGTTGTACCCTCTTTCTTCTCATTCATTTTCTTATGGCTGCAGTGCTATATTGACCCAGCAACTGGTCACAAGTGTTATTCAAAGCCAGAGCTGTCTCGATATCTCAAAGGTGTCAAGTGCAACAGCGGCAAAACCAAGGAGGACATTGGCTCTATTAGCAACGTTTGTTCCATAATCAACTTGCTAATCAAATCTTCTTTCTAGATGTCTTCTCGAATATACACAAGATGTAGCTAGTTGACTTCAACCTTATGTTGATCTTATGGCAGCTTATTTGTGTAACCTACCAAATATATGATCTTAACTAGCAAGGTCATATTACTTAGTCAGGTTTAATCTTAATCCTTACAAAAGTCCAAAACTGTTGTAGCTATGTTATTGGAGCAACGTGTTTGAATAGTTTTAATTTTAGAGAAAGAGCCATTGACACAATCTTATGTATAGTTGTGGACTTTGAAGTGGTCTCCGTGAAACTTATCTGCCTGCTACTAAAAAAGATTAAAAAGGAACTTGCTGTTTTGGTCTTTATGATGTTAACACTTTTTCAGTATTTAGTGTAATAAAGCATCGTGAGAAAAATATGTGTATTATCAATCATGTTTGTAGCAGGGGAGAGCCGCTTGGCGTTGTATGCTCACTGTAGGTGGAACCTTATAATTGCAGTTTACAATCTAGATTTATTTTTAAGTGTGCTTTTCTTTCAGCATGACCTTGGTGGTTCAACTGGGGAGGAATCCTCTTTGAAGCCAGATGTTTCTCAAAATAGCAAAAATGTAAGAAGCTAGAGTTCCACATCCAAACACAATAAAATTGGCATTAGCAAGCATTCTATTAACAATTTTGTTGCATGAACCTGGCTATTTCTTGCACTCAAGTATTATATTTTTAAGCACAAAATATAGCTCTGATTTTTGATGTACTATCTAGGTTGTGGATGAGATTCTCTCTTTGGAAGGGCTTCCACCAGGATGGATTAAAGCAATAAGGACTAGAAAATATGGGAATGGTATAAAGAAAGACCCGGTACTGAATCGAAGCTCTGATCCATAATTATTGTAATATATTATTGTGCTCCCCACAAAAAAAAAAAAAAGGAAGAAAGAGAGCAAAAACCCAGACTGCCACGCACAGTTGCACAAATGTGCAATTGAATTACTTGGAAAAAGAATGTAATGCATCTTCCATGCGGTCTGTAGTTGCATTTTCACTAAATGAATTTTATTTCTGTACTTTGAAAGGAGTTTTTGATAAAGACCAAATCTCTACAGTATTACTTTGATCCTGAAAGTGGATACATGTTCCGTTCCACATTGGATGCTAAGCGATATCTGGACACTGGTGATATTGCTACATGCAAAATCAAGCCACAGAAAAGGGACAACAACGATATGGTGGCACCGAAAAATGATGACATCTGGGTAAGTATGCCTTGGTTTATTATCAAATTACTTGGTGGTTTATTGTTGCTGCAGTTGTTATCAATTCTATTCTTTATCCATCCTGTTTCCAAATTTTCCAGTTTCACACATCCCATTGTGTAGTTGAAAGAACAGGTGGTCACTGGTGGAGTAGGAGTAGCTTTCTTTAAGACGTTCATATGAGTACTAGTTGATCTTATCTTGGACAAATGTTGTAAAGACATCTGTATGCTGCATGAGTAATGCATGGTTGCATTAAAAAACTTAATCTAAGGCAAAGCTAAAGTTAGAAGGATGACATGTTTAGTTTCTTTTTAACACTTGCATGTACAACAGTACATCACCTTAGGGCTTCCAGTATTGTCATACTTGGTGGATGTACATGCACTCAGGCAAACTCAAAGGAACTTGAGGCTACACACGTGAATACGGAGACGCCTATAAATGTACAATACACAAGGACTACTTAGTATTCCATTTGTCATGTCTCTTTGTGCTTTTCTCTTTTGGTATGGCACTTTATTCTCTCAACTTGAATTGTTGTGTGTAGACAATTAATTATACCGTATAACATCTTCAACTTTAGAAAGATTATCATTGAAGCTTTTCTTTTATAGAACTATCTTTGGGCAGTATTATAATTTTTCTGGTGATACTGTTTTGTATCTCATTTATTTTTTGGTATGTTGCAGTGCTACATTGATCCAGCAACTGGAAGCAAATTTTACTCGAAGGCAGAACTGTCTAAGTATCGCGAAACTGTACAGTGCGACAGTGGAACAGCCAAAGAGAAGGAAATAGACATTGGCTCTATTAGCAATGTTTGTTCCTTAATTAACCATTCACATTTTTGTTTTCAGTTGCCTTCCACAACACAAACAAGCTGAAAATAGTTTTATTTGTTTACCAAATAATCTATCCTAACTAGCTAGCTCATGTGTTTTGATCAAGTTTAATCTATAAGGCTAAATCCCTAAAGAAGTCCAACTGTTATAGCTTATATTATTCTACCTGTTAGGAAAATTTCAGGTTCAAATAAAAAGAAACCTTATTACAATCATATATAAGATTCCAACTTTGAAGAGGTCTACATGAAACATAGGTGCTCAAACACGAAATATGCCATTGAATTTGAAATTTGAACACCCTTTATTGCATTGGCTATGTTCACTTTCTTATGTTTCTAACCCTTCAATACGGTTGGTCACTGTAGATTGTTCACTTGACAAGGAGTTATTATTTGCAGTCTGCAGTGAAAATAGATGAATCTCCTGAGTGGTTGCCTCGTGGATGGATTATGGAGGTGAAAACTAAGAAGAGTGGTTCACAATACAAGGTATCTCACACCAAAAATTTGGCAATCTTCTTTGATAGTTACTGCTGTGCGTCTTGTGTTCATCTGAAAAGGTGAAGTGATTTGGAGCACATGCAATGGAAGTTGGGATGCAATATTCCTACACTAAAGACCAGGACTTTATAAAAGGATGTTGGTAGTTTTGTTTTCAATTTTTCCTGAATAAATAAATTGGTGAATTAGAGAAAAAAATATATCATCTTCCTTCTCCCTACTTTCGGCATGTTTCTTGCCGCCATCCTTATTAAAAGATTTCCACATGCTAGACCTAAAATTTAGTCTGCACGTGAGGGGTGTGTTGAAGTACAAATACTAAAGTTACACCCGTCTAAGTAGTTAGCTGGTTTGGACTGAATAACTGATTCATGAGTTCAATCTTCAATTTTCAAAAATTTAAAGTCTTGGCTAAAAGGTAGCCTTATGGAGGAGTATAATGATGCCATGTTTTGACGAAGAGATTTATCCAATTCATGGAGTGGCTATTACACTGGCATTTGAATGTGAAAATTGAAATTATAGGTAAGGGAAATTGATATCAGCTAAGGCTTATGTAGCATTCAGTGTTTGATTGGGAAATTCGAGTTTTGTTTTTAGTATATTTGCCATTTTTCTTTTTTGTGCTTCAGTTTCTCTCATTTGGCATGGTATTTTTTGCTCTCTGAATATCATTGTATACCACTAACCTGTAATCTTATTTGCTTGGCAATAAAGTTAATTTTTTCTGGGAATACATTTTTGCCATTGATGGAAGCAAAATTTTGAAAATCGATTGTATGTTTAAGGAATTACTTGGACTATAATTATCATTTATGTTGTTTCATGTAATTGTTTTTGCAGCAGTATTATTAATTTTTTGTGATGTCCTCTTCCATCACCTTCATTTTTCTTATGGCTGCAGTGTTACATTGATCCAGCAACTGGGTACAAGTGTTATTCAAAGCCAGCGCTGTCTCGATATCTCAAAGGTTTTAAGTGCAACAGTGGCAAAGCCAAGGAGGACATTGGCTGTATTATCAATGTTTGTTCCATAATGAACTTGCTAATCAAATCTTCTTTTTAGGTGTCTTCTAGAATATACACAAGACGTAACTAGTTGACATTCAGCTGTATGTTCATCTTATGGCAACTTATTTGTATAACCTACCAAATATATGATCTTAACTAGCCAGGTCATAATACTGAATCAGGTTTATCTTAATCCTTACAAAAGGTTCAAACTATTATAGTTTATGTTATTGGAGCAATGTGTCTGAATAGGTTGAAGTTTAGATGGAAAGAACCATTGACACAATCTTATCTATGTTTTGGACTTTTAAGAGGTCTCTGTCACTTATCTGTCTGTTACTGAAAAAGATGAAAAAGCAACTTACTGTTTTGGCCTTTGTGATGTTTACGCTTTTTCAATATTTAGTGTAATAAAGAATCGTGAGAAAAATATATGTATTATAGCAGGGCATGTTAGAAAGTATGCTCAATGTATCTGGGAACTTATATTTGCTTTTACGCTCTAGACTTATTTTAAGTGTACTTTTCTTTCAGCATGACCTTGGTGGTTCAACTGGAGAGGAGTCCTCTTTGAAGCCAGATGTTTCTCAAATTAGCAAAGATGTAAGAAGCTAGAGTTCCCCATCCAAACACAATAATATTAGCGTTATAAAGCATTCTATGAACAATTTTGTTTCATGAATCTGGTTAATTCATGTGATTATTATATTTTTAAGCACAAAATATAGCTCTGATTTTTGCTGTCCTAAATCCTATCTAGGTTGTGGACAAGACACTCTCTCTGGAAGGGCTACCACCAGGATGGATTAAAGAGATAAGGAAAAGAAAATACGCGAGTGGTACAAAAAAAGATCCGGTACTGAATCCAACCTCTGATCCATAATGATTGGAATTTTTTATTGGTCACCCCCGTGACCCACTAAAAAAGAGCAAAACACAGAATCGCTTGCATAATTGCGCAAATGTGCATGTTAACTACTTGGAAAAAGAACATAATACATCTTCCATGCCGTCTCTAGCTGCATTTTCAACTAAATTAATTCTACTGCTGTACTTGGAAATGATTTTTGATAAAGACCTGATCTCTACAGTATTACATTGATCCTGAAAGTGGATACATGTTCCGCTCCACATTGGATGCTTTGCGATATCTGAAAACTGGTGGTATTGCTACATGTAAAATGAAACCAAAGAGAATGGACGTCAACGATATGGTGCTTAAACATGAGGACATCTGTGTAAGTGTGCCTTGGTTGGTAATCAAAGTACTTGGCGCTTCATTGTTGCTGCAATTGTTATTGATTCTATTCTGTATCCACTTCTGAATTTTTCAGTTTCACGTGTCCCTTGTGTAGTTGTAAGCACAAGTGGTCACTGGAGTAGGAGCACGTTTTTGTAAGACATTCATATGAGTACTAGTTGATCTTATCTTGGGCAAATGTATAGACATCTCTATATGCTACAGGGGTAACGCATGATTGCATTAAAAAACTTAATTTGAAGCAAAGCTAAAGTTAGGAGTATGACATGTTTAGTTTATTATCCACACATGCATGTACAACGGTACGGGCACTTTAGATATTCCGGTATTGGCATACATAGTGAATGTGCATGCATTCAGGCAAACAAAAGGAACTTTCACCTGCACACATGCGAATTCGCAGAAGCCTACAAATGCACAATACGCAAGGACGACTTAGAATTCCAGTTATCATGTTGAAATTCAGTAGATGATATTTCTCATCAGACATGGCCGTTATCCAATTATTTGTAATCTACTAATTATTGCAGACTTGAACGTTGCAATATAACTCAGATGTGCCAAGGTACTTGGTAACTTGTATTAGGCAGCACGCGCATCCTTCTTATACTTGCAACTTTATTGGTTAAAAGCGGTGCCAAAGCTACTGGCGGTCAAGGTTTACAGATTGTGCTGTGTGATCATTATTTGCTTCACTGATCCTGCTCAGAACTTTTTATCTCTGTTTTTTCAATACATTTTTGCTGAGTCGCTCTGTGGCCTTAAGTTCATTCTTCAGAATTCTTAGAGGTCAAGTACAAAGTTGATTCATGGCTAACAGAGTAAAAGAGGAAAAATATAAAAGGTTGTTTTTTTTTTTTGTCTTTGTTCCACTGATACCTGATACTTTTTTGGCCTCTGCTTGGAGCACACCTTAGTCCAAATCCTCTGACTTTGTCATGAGTTTTTGCAAACAATATGCCTGTTAACACCTCTTATGGCAATTATGATCATATGATTGTTGCTGTCCTTCAATTTCAGTGTTGATTACTTTTCAAGTACCGCCCTGCTATTGGAACATTTTGCTGAATGGAAGTTCTAATTGTTGGGAACTCTCTCCTTGCCTTTTGTCTCTCAATAGGCTCCATCCGCAGTTGGAGGGAAGAAAAGGAAGCATTCTACTTCCAAAAGACGACTATTTGAAGGTGAGAAATCAAAATATGATACACATATCTTCACTTACTATCAATGCTATTATGTGTTAAAACAACTTGTACTGCTATTTGAGTGATTATTATTCCCTTACTTACGACATAGGACTTAATGTTGCAGGTAAAGAAAGAAGCGGTAGTAGTGGCTTAGCAGCATTCGAAGCCAAGAGCTCAAAGGAAAGGCGAACCAATGGTTTTAAGAGAAAACATGGTTTGACAGTGTCTGAAAACGGGTCTGCTTCTACTCCTGCAACTGATATTTTTCCAGAGGAGACATTGCCCCAGAATGTGATGGAAGAGAATAGCAAGAAAAAGACGTGGATTGGCTCGAGGAATTCCATGGAAAGAGGGCTTAGGCGAACTTCAAAAAGGCTTGCTGGGATTAAACCTGAGATTCAGGACAAATTGGAATCAAGTGAAAGTGCTCTGGCTGCAGCCAGGAAGTCCACTGAAATAGAAGCCAATCCATCTCCCACTTTGGTCCTGGATGGTGCAGCTAATAGAGTGCCCGAGCTTGTGACAGAGCTAGAAGCAGAGACCACAAAAGGTCATGCTTCCATAGACAAAGAAGCTGTGTTGGATATAGAACCATCGATCGAAAACAAAAGGCCTGTGGATATATCGCAAGTGTCACTAGGAATGCAGACAACTGAGAAACAAGATGAGGGGAAGCCAGAATCCCAAGATTCTCGAGGCTTATATTCATTGGGAGACTCTTGGTCAGATCCATGTCTAGACTTTGCATTCAAGACTCTTACAGGGGCAATACCAGTTGAAGATAATCCAATTCAGGGGCATCTCCAGCAACAACCTGACCCTTCTTCTATCCAAGAAGAGGGTTGTTTTGGACTGCCCGAGTCTGGCATGCCCAGCTTTTTCCAAAATGATGTTCCAGCTCAGGTTGATTCACCCGAGAAACGTGTGCCCCCGCTGAATCCTGCATTCGTGCCCCAGGGAAATGCCAACATACCCGGCTGCAGCTGGCTTCGTCCTCAGCAACCTAGCTTGGACCCGGGGACCAGCAACATCAGACAAGGGTGAAAATAAGAGGTTGGCAAATTTTGCCCTCTAGGTGCGCTAGCTTATGAAGCTGAAAGATGGATAATTTTTTGCAGAGAACATACAGCTTGCTAGCTATAAACCCTGGATAATGTTTTGGCACCTGTTAAATATTTTCTTTCGAATCTGTGCTTTTTCCTACATCCTTTAATGTGGTAATCGATATCTTGAGATGCCACCAGGTTGAAGCCAATCGTGGAAAAATTAAAAGATAAAAGAGATTTCTAACACTACAAGAATTAGGGATTTTTAAGACATTTTTTGTGATAAGTTTGTTCACCGTCATTAAAAAAAAAAAACGTGTTTTTAAAGATTTTTTTTTTTTTTGGACTATTGTCATAAAAGGGTTATTTTTCATTATAACAATTGGAGTATCAAAATTTTTATGTCGGCAACAAATCCTCTTAAATAATATTTGCTGTAGAAAATAATTTTTTTTGTGATGGTATTACTGTCACAATTTTTTTTTTTTTTTTTTTTTGTGGCGGTGGATACAGTTGACACAATTTTTTTTCTTCTTAAAAGACCTTAATGTTTACTTAATTTTTATAGTCTGAAATATTTCGTTTTTGCTTGACCCACCAATTGTGATATTTATTAACAGATAAAAAATTGAAATAGTTTTTTAGACAATATCAATTAAACGAGTTTGTCACGTCAATATTGGGTTATTTGTCTTTGATGTTAACACAATCTCTTAATTGTTTGTATTAATTAATAGGTCACGTCACTTTTAAGTCTATCTCATGTAAAACTAATTATAGATTTATAATTGAAATTAAGAAAAATTACTACTGAATTTTTGGCCAAATCAACAATTATTATAATTATGATGTGAGCAAAAATAATTATGAGTGTTATAATTTAAAATTCGAAATAAAGCATGCAAACAGTAGTTAGATCATTAAAAATATAACATGCAATATAAATAAATACAAAAAATGTATAAACATGTAATCCATATAAACTAAATAAATTAATTTCGAAAGAGCAGACTTGCAAGTCCGAGATGTATGTGATCATTATCCTAATGCAGCTGAGCCTCCCCACGTGAGAGTACTGACAGACACCAGCGATTCCAAAATCCAACGTAAACGCTCGCAGCAACACCTTCTCAATGGTCACGTCTACTAGAAGGTTGAAGTGAACCTGACTCAAATCAAATTGTCCCAAAAATAAAATAATAGATAATAATTAAAAAGTATGTAAAGATTTTTGAGTGGATTTTCGTTACTGCCAAAACCTATCTCAACAACCCCTTATATAGCCATTGTGTATGTATCGTACACATGATACTATTCAATTTTTTTTTTCATCTGTTTGGCACATGATGACTTTTCAATGGTTTGTACATGTTGACTTTTCAATGATTTTTATTGTTAAGCCTTGAATAGTCTTAAAACCAATTTTAAGGTCAAAAATTATTATTCTTGAATATACACATTAAATAAGACAAAAAAATTTGTAACTGAAATTCACAAATTAAAATGAAAATTCAATAAAAGTTTTAAAAACTTAATTTTATTCTTACATGTCATGTTTGAGTACGATCCTATTAAAAATTATCATCATCATCCAGCACAACATGTGAACCTAAATAAAAGAAACCCATGCCACATATATGATTAAAGCATACTTTCTATATTTCTATCTAATAGGTTTAATTTCTCATTCTTTATTTCCTTGTAAACCATATAACAAACTAAATAACTGCATGTATAGCAGCAGATCTTGTGCCCATCACTACATGTGCATCAGTTTATTAGACTCGTAGAGACACTTTCTCATATAGCCATGAAAGGAAAGAGCCTTATGGGCAGAACACAACCCTGTAGTTGGTACCAGCAGGGCAAGTGAACAAGCTTGTTGGATCATCCTGAGGGTAGCTATAAGCATCGGGGCACCTCTCCTTAAAGAACTTGGAGAAATCAGTAGGCCCACAGCTCCCAGGCCCATCAGTGCAACAATATTGATTGGTTTTGAACACTGTGCATGGATTGTTGCAGCCACCGGGAGCCCGTAATTCAGCCGGACACTGGTCGTTGATCGGAGCGGTGCATCTGAGGTTACGGCACACATTGGTGGTGGGGCTGAACTCCATCGGAATATTGAAACCATCAACAAGAGAAATGTCGACATAGTCCAAGTTGTTAGGTTGGTTTAAGGCAAATTCAGCTAAGGTGTTTGGGGGTGAGCCATAGCCTTGGCATTCAAGGCGACCACAGTCACCGGTATCGCATTTGCCTTGGCCATTAGCATCAAAGTTGCAATTGGTTCGGCCCCAAATACGAGCCTGGATCGTGCCAGGGTTCACATTGATGTTCCAGGTCTGGCCTTGGTCGAGTCGCCTGCCTCCACCGGGGGAGGCAGCCGCCCAGACGGTGTAGGGACATCGGTTTGTGATATCAAATGTTGCTGCATTGGTGAAGGTGGAAGTGAAGTACAGGGTAAAGAGAAGGGAAAAAAAAACATACATTGTTTTAGTTAAGCTCATAGTGGTAGTTGGTATAAAGTGGATGAAGGTTTGGTTATGTGCAAGTATGATGGTATTGTGTATGTGAGCCAAAGGGCTGGGGGAGTTTATATAGAGGAGTGGAGGTCTTTATGTGGCATTTACGTGGTCATTTCCACCATAAGTTTTTCAAAGGAAAATTAGAGGTTTTGTTGGACTTTTCTTCATGCACTAGAAGACATGAGTCAAGGAGTGAAATGTGTCCATTAGGAGGAGTTTTAGTTAGGCCAATCTATTCATGTATTCATTTTGAATTTTTTGACAGCAGGCAATGATATCACCTCTTGAATGGAACCCTTGCTAATTATAAGAATTTCATACCCAGTCATTTAAAGGGTATGACCCTTTCTTTTATATGTGAATAGGCTAGCCCATAATCGACAATCAAATCTCCTAAAAAAATAAAAAATGTCACACAAAGTATTGTAACGTATCAATTAAATGAGTCCTAGAAGTCCGTCTTTACCTTGATTGTTACGTCCTCCATACATGTTATTTACATAAAAGAGCTAGCTCATGTGGGGAGGAAAAAAAAAATCAGAAGGGAGATTAAGCCATTTCAATATGAAAATCATTCGAATGACATTTTTTCAGATAATAAAAAAAGCGAAAGAAAAAAAAAGAATTACTCCTGTGACCCAATACTTATAATGCCAAATATAAACAGAAAAAAAATCTCAGGCTCCATAGAGGGGCCAATGAAAATGAACCCTTGGCCGTTTCCACATACATTGAGACTTGACTTCTTAGCCTAACAGTCCAAGTGCGATTTGGGAATTTAACGAAACGGGCATAAATCTAGACCGTCCATTGCTGTCAATATCTCTTGTCTAATGTTGAAGATCACCATAAATTAAACACACATGGACTGCAAAAAAAAAGAAAAAGTCAAGAACAAAGTTTGGTGAACCACGTCTTCAACCCCGTAGCTTCTCATATTAGGTCCCTATCAGTTCCGAAAACTAGCAGCCACAGTTTACTTTTCTTCTCCCTAACTCTTTTTTTTTTCCCTATTTTTTGCTGATTTTCCTACAATCGGAACTTTCGAAAATTTTATAGCATTGTTATGTGACCCTTTTTAATTATATATAGCACCATAAGACAATCTATTCACTATCCCAGAAAATGTAACATCGGTATATGATCATTTTTATAGTTGTCCCACGCGATTTAGAATTAAGTCTCGCAATCTATATAGCGTGGTTTTTTTTCTTCTTCATTTTACAAATAAGATAGATTTATCGTTTACATAAAATAATTGACAAATGATTAAATGTTACGTAACAACGAAGAAAGACTTTAGTTACGATTAGACGATTCGGTTTAAATTTGATAGTTCTTTCCTATGAAAGGCAAACTGTTTGGACTGCTAGAATGTAGCTTTCCCGGAAAAAAAACACTTATCAATTGACTTCGACCCATACATTGATTAATAGTCATAAATCATGTCCCGCATGTTCGGGTAAATGTTGGAGATGTCATTTTTTCTAGATAGAGTTTGGCATGAAGAAAAGTAGGAGTTATCCTCAATTTATGGTTCATTTCTTTTCAGTCAGTTGTGGAATAAATCATTTGATCTATATAGACTCGACCGACAAGTTATTTTAGTTTTCAGAAATTCGATTTTTTTTTATCATGATGGAGTGGATTTTAATTCAGATTTGGTCTGAATTTAAATTTGATTAATCGAACATTAAGTGAAATTGACATAATTAACACGTTTAACTAATAATAGAAAAATAAAATACTAATTATTTGTTATTGTTTATTAGGTATTGACATAATTATTGTACAAAAGAGGCATTTTTACTCATTATTATTGTTATGTTTATTAAATTAATTTTTAATTTATAGAAAAAGTATGATTATAGATTCAATTAATTAATAATAGAATCTTAAACTTAAATCTTAGCATTAAGTTCTTTATTCGAGATTTATATGAGTCAACAAGAATATGAACATAAAAATAAACAGATCAATCTTTACGACATGATTAGTTAAATAAATTGGTTTAGGGTTGATTAGTGCTCGACACGAACCTGCAATGACATGCCACTATTTTCACCCCTAAAATTTAGTGGTTATTTGATGAAGTTGAGTTGAAATAAAGCCGCAATTTTTCTAAATTCAAATATAGATATTATTAGCTTTTAAACCTCACCAGATTCAAATATTAAGTCTCAAAATGAACTTTTTTGGATAATTGGATTGGATTTTTTGAATTTGATTCGGATTGAGATGAGCCGAGATCCCATGTATATTCAATTCATAGTGGGTGTTCACCTATATGGCAAAGGGGAGACGACTCTCTCCTAATGTGGGACGAGAGGTAAAAGCTACTGGATGTTCACCCAGGTCAGCTAGAATCTTTCCGTGGAAGGGATGAATTCTCCTTACAAAAAGGCAGGTGGCTAGGAGGTACCTCCTCCATAGTGGGTGTTCACCTATATGATAGGGGGGAAGATGACTCTCTCACGATGTGGAACAAAAAGTAAAAGCTACTAGGTGTTCACCCAAGTCAGCCAGAATCTTTATGTGGAGGGGAAGAATTCCCCTTATAAGTAGATTGGAAGTGGGATTCAAATAACATTGTTTTTTTTTTTTTTTTCATTTTTGAGATTAGAAGAAGACCTGATAAACTTTATCATAAATCGGTGGCCAATCTCGTGTTTGAGGTTTTCTAACTAAGTGCTCTTGCCCTAGTCAAAACTCACTTGCTAATATTTCACACCTGAAAGAAGCCTAGCTTGTAGTTTGTATTTAATTAGTAACTATTTAAGATTATCCATTCTTCTCGAACGCTATACTTAATGAATAATTGCTACGCAAATAGAAAAAAGAGATAACAAATATAATCTAAATGATGTAACAACTGATATATTATGTATATTTTAAATTAATAAAAGTGAGATAAAAAATATCATTATTACAATTTCACTTTTAATCGTCTTCAAGATAATTAGAAGCATCTCAAACATCTATCTTTGAAAAACCTCATGTGGCATCTTGTTTGAGTCGTGCTTGAGGTGCGTGTATTCTTTAAAATCGTAAATCGAATTATTTGCCTTCGACACTAATTTAAGTTATAATAATGAATCGTGTCATTTTAAAATTATCAACTTTTTTGGAACTACACGTGGAAAAAATTGTCACCCTTACTAAATATGAACCGAAAGAAATGAAAACCCTTGGTATAATGTGATCAAAGGAACACTTTCGATGTCTCCCTTTAACATCCTTTATTCACTTGTAATCATAGAACAAGACTACGTGTCTGCATGTGTTGTAATCGTGCAACAATTATGGTAAATAGTAAAGAATCAAATAATTAAGAAAGAAGGAGAAAATAACACACAGAGATTTACGTGGTTCGGCAATGTGCCTACATCCACGAAAGCGAGCGGCCGTTCTTTTTCATTATTTAAAGTAGGGTTACATCTTAAGTATTTATATAACCCTAATACGGACGTATTTACAAAAAATACTCTGTACCGTACCGCGGGGGCGTTGCCCCTGCACCCCCAACTAATCAGCGTCCCCTTTATATAAATCCCGCAAGGCAGATGCCGTCGCGGGCTCCGCTCCGCTACGTTTCGCTTCGCTCCACTCCGCTACGCTCCGCCACGTTTCGCTTCGCTCCACTCCGCTACGCTCCGCCCGTTCCGGCATCTGCCTCCTTACCATTATACACACAGCAAATATGAGCCACACATACTCTAACAGCATGTATAGCAGCAGATCACGTGCACATCACTACACATGTGCATGAATTTATTACAATACCGTAGTATATGAAAATTCTAAGTATCTAATCACTTTCTCATATAGCCATGAAAGGATAGAGCTTCATGGGCAGAACACCACTCTGTAGTTGGTGCCACTAGGGCAAGTGAACAAGCTTGTTTGGTGGTTTAGGGCAAATTCAGCTAGGGTGTTTGGTGGTGTGCCATAGCCTTGGCATTCGAGGCGACCGTTGCAGTCACCGGTCTCACATCTGCCTTGGCCATTGGCATCAAAGTTGCAATTGGTTCGGCCACAAATACGAGCATTGGTCGTGCCAGGGTTCACATTGAGATTCCAGGATTGGCCCTGGTCGAGTCGCCTGCCTCCATCAGGGGAAGCAGCCGCCCAGACGGTGTAGGAACATTGATTTATGATATCAAATGTGGCTGCATTGGTGAAGGTGAAGCATAGGTTAAAGAGGAGAGAAGAACACACCCATGGTTTTTGTTAAGCTCATTTTGGTATTTGGTATCAAGTGGAGGAAGGTAGGTTGTGTTTAATTTTAGGCTTAATTTGGCAAGTATGATGGCTTTATAGGGTTGTGTATGTGAGCCAAAGGGGTGGGGGGGGGGGGGGGGGGTGGTTTATATAGAGGAATGGAGGCCTTTATGAGTAGTTTACGTGATCATTTCTACCATAAGTTTTTGGGTAAAATACACTTTTAGCCTCTAAAATATGTATTCATTGTCTATTTGATCTCCAATCTTTCAATTGTGTCTATTTGATTCCTAAGGTTTTTAATTTGTATCTATGTGGTCCAATTCCAAAAGTTCATAAAAAAAATCGTTAATATCTTTAGTCAAACTCTAATCACGTGAGACCAAATAGACACAAATTAAGAACTAAATAAATATAAATTATGAATTTTATGGACCAAATAGACATTATAGACATATTTTGGGGAGTAAAATTGTATTTTATCCTAAATTTTTCTAAGAAAAATCAAAGATTTTGTTGGACTTCTCTTCATGCACTAAAAGACATGAGTGAAGGAGTGGATGTGTCCAAATCCAATACGTGGAGTTTTAGTTAGGCCAATCCATTCATGTGATAAAAATTGAAACAAGAAAAATGGGCATTCAGGATTTGAAATGTTTTGAGACAACCCTAGTGGGTAAAAGATGATGGCGTTACTATAAGGTGGAAAATGCTATTTATACTTGAAAAAATAAACGACTAATCAAACCTGGTGGTGTTGTCTTCTACATTTAGAAAATAAATATGAACAACAAAACAAGGCCAACAATTCCATTTCAATTGTGGGTGAGAAATCATTTCACCTCTTGAATGAAATTCTTTGCTAATTAGCAGAGTTTCATACTCGGATTATTTAATGATAAGATTAAGAGTTCCTTGTTGGGGAATCGATAAATTATACGCCTTCGAGTTAAATCATAATGACTTACTTCAATTTTGACTCTATCTCTCAGTAATATTCGTATAAAATTACGTTGGATCTTTCCTGGATTTAAGCATTGGTTAGGTAAGCGTCATGCAATAAGATGAGTAGTTATACACCCTATAGACGATCCCCATGGGGTGGTGAAGGGAGGGGCCCAATTGGTAGAAAAAACCCATAACCCCTTGGGGTTATCTTACACTTGGAAGAAGAAGTAAAAAAAAGAATAAATATAGTAATAATTTGATTATGAGACAAATGTATGTATTTTAATTAGGGTCGTATTCTATGGTTATGATTCTACCATATATTGTCTTTTTCATTCCGTTGAAAATCGAATTTAAGGTATAGACGCTTATGACCTCCCCCTCTATGCCCTGCAATAATGATATCTCTAGAATTACGACCTTTACCACAATGATGCTGTCCATGAAAACGCTATTTAATGGAACTTTAGCTTTAGTTAGTCGTGACTAAAAAATCACCGATTTTGCTTGGTGGGCCGAGAATGCCTGACTTATCAATTTATCTGGTAAACTACTGGGGGTTCATGTAGTCCATGCTGGATTAATTGTATTCTAGGTTGGAACAATGAACCTATTCAAAGGTTTACCTTCCGAAATTTCTTTTGGTAATTTTGAAGTAATTTTACAGTCAGAGCAATTTTATTTGAACGAAATACTATTAGAACATATCAAAAAAAAAATTATAATAATACAGTGAGCCAAATACTTACTTATCGTGCCAAATATAATGGAAAAAAAAAAAAACTCAGGATCCATAATGGGGCCTGCGAAAATGAACCCTTATCTCTACATTTCTGATTTTCCACATACATTGAGACTGGACTTCGTAGCCTAACAGTCCATGGGCATAAATCTAGACCGTTAATCTCTCTTGTCTAATGTTGAAAATCATCATATATTAAACACACATGGACTGCAAAAGTCCAGAACAGAGTTTAAGTGAACCACGTTTTCTGTCCGTTGCTTCTCATGTTAGGTCCGAATCAGCTTCGAAAACTTGGGACCATTGTTTACTTTTCTTTTGCCCATTACTATTTTTTTTTACTGATTTTGTTACAATCTGAGCTGTTGAAAGTTATATATATTGTTATCTAACCGTCTCGATTATGAATAATATCATGCTAATCGGAAAAAAAAATAAGAAAAAATGAGACCAACTAAGCTATCTTTTTTTAGAGAACGAAATGATAAATAAATAAAAAAACCCGATATAAATGTTGATTTTTTCACCGCTTAAATTGTTAGTAAATCACTACTATATATACGAAGAAAGATGCATCACATTTATCGTATCAACTATTACATCATTTGGACTGTCCTTTTGTTTTGTTAAGGTAGCTATCATGGTCATATGACATATTCATTATGTCATAACAAAGAATTTAATGTTAAAATTTGATAGTCCTTTCCTATGAGCTGGAAAAACTGGGTACATGACTTTGATACATCTAAGTAAACATCTCGTATTAAAAATTGAATCGATCTTGTAATGTTTATATTTTAAATAATAATTTAATTTTTTTAATTACACAATTTAAAATTAAAATAAATAGAGATGTAGGTATAGATTGATAAGATTGTTTGACATTGGAGGCCAAGAAGAGAAGTTGATGTTTTATAGCAGATTTTTTTTTTTTTTTTTGATAAATTTTGTATAATTGAATCAAAGCGGATAAAGATTGGATCAATTTTAATCGTTATTGTGCTTATAAGTTAAGAATTCAATTTTATAAATGTAATATTAAATAGATATCTTGTACACTTTTAACCCTCAAATATATATTTTTATTGATTTCCTTTGTGACGAATCACTTATTATGTATTTAAGCAGTATTCATTATATATAAATAAGTTTTTTATTATTAATGATAAATAATCTGTCAAAAAAAAATTAAAAAATATATATATCAGAGGGTATCTAGATCCTAGTCATGGGATGTGTACCTATTCTAGATAGAGTTTGGCACGAAGAAAAGTAAGAGTTTTCAAATTTAGTCAGAAATTTCGAAATGGCAAACATAATCCATACAGACTTGACCGACTAGGTATTTGACTTTTCAGAGGCTCCACTCTTGGTCAAGATGGAAAGGATTTTAATCCGAAATCAATTCGAATTTAAATTTAATTAATTAAATATTAATTAATATTATTAACTGATTATCTAAATTTGAAAAACTATAGTTCACCATTTTTTTGATATACTAGTAACTAATTCTTTGTTTATCCGATCAAGATTATAAGTTGGTATATATAAATGTGTATAATAGTAATTTAATGATTATTTGATGAAGTTGAGTTAAAGGAAGACATAACTTTTCAAAATTCAGATATTATCCATATAATTTACTCTAATAGAGCCTAGATTGCATTGCATTGAAAAAACTGTCAAATAATTATACTGTTTTTTTTTAAATTTGATTTGGGTTGAAACTGGTTCAAATCTCTTTTGCATTTCGTCCTTAGCAAGACCATAAGGAATTATATCTTATGAATACGTTAATGTTGGTGTAGATGACCTATCTTTGATCAGATTAAAGAGAGGAGTAGTTGAGGTACACGTAAGCTAATCCAAATACCCTTAACCTAAATTCGAGTGGAACGTTGAACCCGTCGACAAGCGATATGTCAAAGAAGTCTAGGTTATTGAATTGATTCAAGGCATACTCAGCCAATGTGTTTGGTGGTACACCAAAACCTTGGCATTGTAGGAGGCCATTGCAGTCACCGGTTTGACAGCTGCCCCGACCGGCCCCGTCGAAGTTGCAGTTGGTTCGAGGCCAGATACGGGCTTGTTTCGTGCCGGCAGGGACGTTGATTTGCCATGTTTGGCCTTTGTCAAGCCTCTGGCCGCCACCGGGCACGGCTGCTGCCCAAACTGTGTAGGGACAGTTGTTTCGGACATCAAAAGTGGCTGCATGGGTGGAGGTGAAAATGAGAGAGATGAGAAGGAAAATGGAAATGGAGAGAGACTTGAAGAAACTCATATTTGGGACTCTAGAGATTGAGAGGGAGATGGGTTATGACTACTTAGGTTTTGTGCTTGTGTAGTGTTTGTGAGGGAATGGGTGGGGTATTTATAGTACGAGCATAGATAGAGGTGGGTGTAAGACTTTAATTGTATGGTTAATTTTGTTGGAAATTTTGAGAGAGTTTTCAGTCTTGGCTTTCACTTGTCTCCAGGTCAGGGATGGCCGGCATGATCTATTCCACAACAAAAACTTCAAGTGGTAGCTAAAATTAGTTTGGATGATTTTTTTTTCCATTGATTGAAAACATGATAAAATAATAAAAATTACATGGGTCATATTTTCATTTTTATTTAAAAAAAATAAAGTATTAAAATAAATAAGTTTCAATATAATAGTTGTGTGTTTGTGTATATATATAGAGAGAGAAAGAGTGAAAGCAATGATATAAAACTTAAATGAAATTCAAAAAGTTACAATTTTGCATATCATTCTTTAGATGAATAGTTTTTTTTAATTTTTTCAGTGGAACTTACTCATCGAACACTCATTCAAGGGATGATATGTATTTAAATTTTAACTTTTGAATTCTATTTAAGTTGTGTAATATTTTATATATGTGTGTGTGTGTGTTGTTACGTAGAGGGTGGGCATTAACTTTCTCGAATTTGCAGCCTTGGTTCAATGTTTAATTTTTTGATAGTTTCAGAATTTTGTGAACAATTTTTTTTTTTTTTTTGTTTTTGTGAATTGGATTTCTATCACTTGAATTTTGGACAATTTTGAAATTGGTTCACACTCGAAAACATGTAATTGAAAGATTTAAGAGATGAGATTTTTGAGACGACATAGTCCAAGTTGTTAGGTTGGTTTAAGGCAAATTCAGCTAAGGTGTTTGGGGGTGAGCCATAGCCTTGGCATTCAAGGCGACCACAGTCACCGGTATCGCATTTGCCTTGGCCATTAGCATCAAAGTTGCAATTGGTTCGGCCCCAAATACGAGCCTGGATCGTGCCAGGGTTCACATTGATGTTCCAGGTCTGGCCTTGGTCGAGTCGCCTGCCTCCACCGGGGGAGGCAGCTGCCCAGACGGTGTAGGGACATCGGTTTGTGATATCAAATGTTGCTGCATTGGTGAAGGTGGAAGTGAAGTACAGGGTAAAGAGAAGGGAAAAAAACACATACATTGTTTTAGTTAAGCTCATAGTGGTAGTTGGTATAAAGTGGATGAAGGTTTGGTTATGTGCAAGTATGATGGTTTTGTGTATGTGAGCCAAAGGGCTGGGGGAGTTTATATAGAGGAGTGGAGGTCTTTATGTGGCATTTACGTGGTCATTTCCACCATAAGTTTTTCAAAGGAAAATTAGAGGTTTTGTTGGACTTTTCTTCATGCACTAGAAGACATGGGTCAAGGAGTGAAATGTGTCCATTAGGAGGAGTTTTAGTTAGGCCAATCTATTCATGTATTCATTTTGAATTTTTTGACAGCAGGCAATGATATCACCTCTTGAATGGAACCCTTGCTAATTATAAGAATTTCATACCCAGTCATTCAAAGGGTATGATCCTTTCTTCTATATGTGAATAGGCTAGTCCCATAATCGACAATCGAATCTCTTAAAAAAATAAAAAATGTCACACAAAGTATTGCAACGTATCAATTAAATGAGTCCTAGAAGTCCCGTCTTTACCTTGATTGTTACGTCCTCCATACATGTTATTTACATAAAAGAGCTAGCTCATGTGGGGAGGAAAAAAAAATCAGAAGGGAGATTAAGCCATTTCAATATGAAAATCATTCGAATGACATTTTTTCAGATAATAAAAAAAGCGAAAGAAAAAAAAGAATTACTCCTGTGACCCAATACTTATAATGCCAAATATAAACAGAAAAAAAATCTCAGGCTCCATAGAGGGGCCAATGAAAATGAACCCTTGGCCGTTTCCACATACATTGAGACTTGACTTCTTAGCCTAACAGTCCAAGTGCGATTTGGGAATTTAACGAAACGGGCATAAATCTAGACCGTCCATTGCTGTCAATATCTCTTGTCTAATGTTGAAGATCACCATAAATTAAACACACATGGACTGCAAAAAAAAAGAAATAGTCAAGAACAAAGTTTGAGTGAACCACGTCTTCAACCCCGTAGCTTCTCATATTAGGTCCCTATCAGTTCCGAAAACTAGCAGCCACAGTTTACTGTTCTTCTCCCTAACTCTTTTTTTTTTCCCTATTTTTTGCTGATTTTCCTACAATCGGAACTTTCAAAAATTTTATAGCATTGTTATGTGACCCTTTTTAATTATATATAGCACCATAAGACAATCTATTCACTATCCCAGAAAATGTAACATCGGTATATAATCATTTTTATAGTTGTCTCACGCGATTTAGAATTAAGTCTCGCAATCTATATAGCGTGGTTTTTTTCTTCTTCATTGACAAATGATTAAATGTTACGTAACAATGAAGAAAGACTTTAGTTACGATTAGACGATTCGGTTTAAATTTGATAGTTCTTTCCTATGAAAGGCAAACTGTTTGGACTGCTAGAATGTAGCTTTCCCGGAAAAAAAACACTTATCAATTGACTTCGACCCATACATTGATTAATAGTCATAAATCATGTCCCGCATGTTCGGGTAAATGTTGGAGATGTCATTTTTTCTAGATAGAGTTTGGCATGAAGAAAAGTAGGAGTTATCCTCAATTTATGGTTCATTTCTTTTCAGTCAGTTGTGGAATAAATCATTTGATCTATATAGACTCGACCGACAAGTTATTTTAGTTTTCAGAAATTCGATTTTTTTTTATCATGATGGAGTGGATTTTAATTCAGATTTGGTCTGAATTTAAATTTGATTAATCGAACATTAAGTGAAATTGACATAATTAACACGTTTAACTAATAATAGAAAAATAAAATACTAATTATTTGTTATTGTTTATTAGGTATTGACATAATTATTGTACAAAAGAGGCATTTTTACTCATTATTATTGTTATGTTTATTAAATTAATTTTTAATTTATAGAAAAAGTATGATTATAGATTCAATTAATTAATAATAGAATCTTAAACTTAAATCTTAGCATTAAGTTCTTTATTCGAGATTTATATGAGTCAACAAGAATATGAACATAAATTTGACATAAAAATAAACAGATCAATCTTTACGACATGATTAGTTAAATAAATTGGTTTAGGGTTGATTAGTGCTCGACGACACGAACCTGCAATGACATGCCACTATTTTCACCCCTAAAATTTAGTGGTTATTTGATGAAGTTGAGTTGAAATAAAGCCGCAATTTTTCTAAATTCAAATATAGATATTATTAGCTTTTAAACCTCACCAGATTCAAATATTAAGTCTCAAAATGAACTTTTTTGGATAATTGGATTGGATTTTTTGAATTTGATTCGGATTGAGATGAGCCGAGATCCCATGTATATTCAATTCATAGTGGGTGTTCACCTATATGGCAAAGGGGAGACGACTCTCTCCTAATGTGGGACGAGAGGTAAAGGCTACTGGATGTTCACCAAAGTCAGCTAGAATCTTTCCGTGGAAGGGATGAATTCCCTTACAAAAACGCAGGTGGCTAGGAGGTACCTCCTCCATAGTGGGTATTCATCTATATGATAGGGGGGGAGATGACTCTCTCACCATATGGAACGAGAAGTAAAGGCTACTAGGTGTTCACCCAAATCAGCCAGAATCTTTCTGTGGAGGGGAAGAATTCCCCTTATAAGTAGATTGGAAGTGGGATTCAAATAACATTGTTTTTTTTTTTTTTTTCATTTTTGAGATTAGAAGAAGACCTGATAAACTTTATCATAAATCGGTGGCCAATCTCGTGTTTGAGGTTTTCTAACTAAGTGCTCTTGCCCTAGTCAAAACTCACTTGCTAATATTTCACACCTGAAAGAAGCCTAGCTTGTAGTTTGTATTTAATTAGTAACTATTTAAGATTATCCATTCTTCTCGAACGCTATACTTAATGAATAATTGCTACGCAAATAGAAAAAATAGATAACAAATATAATCTAAATGATGTAACAACTGATATATTCTGTATATTTTAAATTAATAAAAGTGAGATAAAAAATATCATTATTACAATTTCACTTTTAATCGTCTTCAAGATAATTAGAAGCATCTCAAACATCTATCTTTGAAAAACCTCATGTGGCATCTTGTTTGAGTCGTGCTTGAGGTGCGTGTATTCTTTAAAATCGTAAATCGAATTATTTGCCTTCGACACTAATTTAAGTTATAATAATGAATCGTGTCATTTTAAAATTATCAACTTTTTTGGAATTACACGTGGAAAAAATTGTCACCCTTACTAAATATGAACCGAAAGAAATGAAAACCCTTGGTATAATGTGATCAAAGGAACACTTTCGATGTCTCCCTTTAACATCCTTTATTCACTTGTAATCATAGAACAAGACTACGTGTCTGCATGTGTTGTGATCGTGCAGCAATTATAGTAAATAGTAAAAAATCAAATAATTAAGAAAGAAGGAGAAAATAACACACAGAGATTTACGTGGTTCGGCAATGTGCCTACATCCACGAAAGCGAGCGGCCATTTTTTTTCATTATTTAAAGTAGGGTTACATCTTAAGTATTTATATAACCTTAATACGGACGTATTTACAAAAAATACCCTTGTACTGTACCGCGGGGGCGTTGCCCCTGCACCCCCAACTAATCAGCGTCCCCTTTATATAAATCCCGCAAGGCAGATGCCGTCGCGGGCTCCGCTCCGCTACGTTTCGCTTCGCTCCACTCCACTACGCTCCGTCCATTCCGGCATCTGCCTCCTTGCCATTATTATGCACACAGCAAATATGAGCCACACATACTCTAACAGCATGAATAGCAGCAGATCACGTGCACATCACTACACATGTGCATGAATTTATTACAATACCGTAGTATATGAAAATTCTAAGTATCTAATCACTTTCTCAAATAGCCATGAAAGGATAGAGCTTCAGGGGCAGAACACCACTCTGTAGTTGGTGCCACTAGGGCAAGTGAACAAGCTTGTTTGGTGGTTTAGGGAAAATTCAGCTAGGGTGTTTGGTGGTGTGCCATAGCCTTGGCATTCGAGGCGACCGTTGCAGTCACCGGTCTCACATCTGCCTTGGCCATTGGCATCAAAGTTGCAATTGGTTCGGCCACAAATACGAGCATTGGTCGTGCCAGGGTTCACATTGATATTCCAGGATTGGCCCTGGTCGAGTCTCCTGCCTCCATCAGGGGAAGGAGCCGCCCAGACGGTGTAGGAACATTGATTTATGATATCAAATGTGGCTGCATTGGTGAAGGTGAAGCATACGTTAAAGAGGAGAGAAGAACACACCCATGGTTTTTGTTAAGCTCATTTTGGTATTTGGTATAAAGTGGAGGAAGGTAGGTTGTGTTTAATTTTAGGCTTAATTTGGCAAGTATGATGGCTTTATAGGGTTGTGTATGTGAGCCAAAGGGGGGGGGGGGGGGGGGTTTTATATAGAGGAATGGAGGCCTTTATGAGTAGTTTACGTGATCATTTCTACCATAAGTTTTTGGGTAAAATACACTTTTAGCCTCTAAAATATGTATTCATTGTCTATTTGATCTCCAATATTTCAATTGTGTCTATTTGATTCCTAAGGTTTTTAATTTGTATCTATGTGGTCCAATTCCAAAAGTTCATAAAAAAAATCGTTAATATCTTTAGTCAAACTCTAATCACGTGAGACCAAATAGACACAAATTAAGAACTAAATAAATATAAATTATGAATTTTATGGACCAAATAGACATTATAGACATATTTTGGGGAGTAAAATTGTATTTTATCCTAAATTTTTCTAAGAAAAATCAAAGATTTTGTTGGACTTCTCTTCATGCACTAAAAGACACGAGTGAAGGAGTGGATGTGTCCAAATCCAATACGTGGAGTTTTAGTTAGGCCAATCCATTCATGTGATAAAAATTGAAACAAGAAAAATGGGCATTCAGGATTTGAAATGTTTTGAGACAACCCTAGTGGGTAAAAGATGATGGCGTTACTATAAGGTGGAAAATGCTATTTATACTTGAAAAAATAAACGACTAATCAAACCTGGTGGTGTTGTCTTCTACATTTAGAAAATAAATATGAACAACAAAACAAGGCCAACAATTCCATTTCAATTGTGGGTGAGAAATCATTTCACCTCTTGAATGAAATTCTTTGCTAATTAGCAGAGTTTCATACTCGGATTATTTAATGATAAGATTAAGAGTTCCTTGTTGGGGAATCGATAAATTATACGCCTTCGAGTTAAATCATAATGACTTACTTCAATTTTGACTCTATCTCTCAGTAATATTCGTATAAAATTACGTTGGATCTTTCCTGGATTTAAGCATTGGTTAGGTAAGCGTCATGCAATAAGATGAGTAGTTATACACCCTATAGACGATCCCCATGGGGTGGTGAAGGGAGGGGCCCAATTGGTAGAAAAAACCCATAACCCCTTGGGCTAATCTTACACTTGGAAGAAGAAGTAAAAAAAAGAATAAATATAGTAATAATTTGATTATGAGACAAATGTATGTATTTCAATTAGGGTCGTATTCTATGGTTATGATTTTACCATATATTGTCTTTTTCATTCCGTTGAAAATCGAATTTAAGGTATAGACGCTTATGACCTCCCCCTCTATGCCCTGCAATAATGATATCTCTAGAATTACGACCTTTACCACAATGATGCTGTCCATGAAAACGCTATTTAATGGAACTTTAGCTTTAGTTAGTCGTGACTAAAAAATCACCGATTTTGCTTGGTGGGCCGAGAATGCCCGACTTTATCAATTTATCTGGTAAACTACCAGGGGTTCATGTAGTCCATGCTGGATTAATTGTATTCTAGGTTGGACCAATGAACCTATTCAAAGGTTTACCTTTCGAATTTTTTTTTGGTAATTTTGAAGTAATTTTACAGTCAGAGCAATTTCATTTGAACGAAATACTATTAGAACATATCAAAAAAATAATAATAATAATACAGTGAGCCAAATACTTACTTATCGTGCCAAATATAATGGAAAAAAAAAAACCTCAGGATCCATAATGGGGCCTGCGAAAATGAACCCTTATCTCAGAGGGTATCTAGATCCCAATCCATACAGACTTGACCGACTAGGTATTTGACTTTTCAGAGGCTCCACTCTTGGTCAAGATTGAAAGGATTTTAATCCGAAATTAATTCGAATTTAAATTTAATTAATTAAATATTATTAACTGATTATCTAAATTTGAAAAACTATAGTTCACCATTTTTTTGATATACTAGTAACTAATTCTTTGTTTATCCGATCAAGATTATAAGTTGGTATATATAAATGTGTATAATAGTAATTTAATGATTATTTGATGAAGTTGAGTTAAAGGAAGACATAACTTTTCAAAATTCAGATATTATCCATATAATTTACTCTAATAGAGCCTAGATTGCATTGCATTGAAAAAACTGTCAAATAATTATACTGTTTTTTTTTAAATTTGATTTGGGTTGAAACTGGTTCAAATCTCTTTTGCATTTCGTCCTTAGCAAGACCATAAGGAATTATATCTTATGAATACGTTAATGTTGGTGTAGATGACCTATCTTTGATCAGACTAAAGAGAGGAGTAGTTGAGATACACGTAAGCTAATCCAGATACCCTTAACCGTTAAACCAAAAAAATAATATGGATATATCCCATTGACCATGCCCACTTAATTCTTAATCTAAAACAAAGCATCATGAAACCATGGACGACTCAAGTTTAACTATTGAAACATCTTTTAATTAGGATTAAAGTTGCCGTCTTTGAACAAATGCATCTATTTGGTCCAAATTTAACGAGGAAGTATATTTTAGTCATTATATGTTGATTGTCTCTTAATTTATCTCCTATTGTTGCTACTTCTACGATTTCAAAAATTTACTAATTTTTAATTCTTTATATTTTTTTATTTTGCCACACAGCTATAAACAAAAGATAATAAAAAGAAAGAAAATAGAGGAGGAAAAACAGAAAATTATAGAAACTTTAATTACTTTTCTTTCTATGCATAGAAAGTCGGTCATCTTTATGAAGCTTACATAACAAGAGCACATAGCTACATGTGCTCAAACTTATTTCACCATAGCTTTTAATCTTGTGAACAGACTTCAAAGCCATTATTCTATATTTAGACGACCTTCCGTACTACTAAGGGCAGAACACAACCCTATAGTTGGTTCCTCCAGGGCAAGTAAAAGTGCTTGTTTGATCATCCTTAGGGTAACTGTAAGCATCTGGGCATCTATCCTTAAAGAACTTCGAATATTCGGTGGGTCCACAGTTGCCGGAGTTGCAACAATACTGATCTGTCTTGAACACAGTACAAGGGTTATTACACCCGCCGGGAGCCTTTAGCTCATTCGGACACTGCCCGTTGATATCGGCGGTGCACCGGNGTCGGTGGGTCCACAGTTGCCGGAGTTGCAACAATACTGATCGGTCTTGAACACAGTACAAGGGTTATTACACCCGCCGGGAGCCTTTAGCTCATTCGGACACTGCCCGTTGATATCGGCGGTGCACCGGATGCCTTTGCACCCACCGGAGGTAGGGCTAAATTCGAGTGGAACGTTGAACCCGTCAACTAGCGATATGTCGAAGAAGTCTAGGTTATTGAATTGATTCAAGGCATACTCAGCCAATGTGTTTGGTGGTACACCAAAACCTTGGCATTGTAGGAGGCCATTGCAGTCACCGGTTTGACAGCTGCCCCGACCGGCCCCGTCGAAGTTGCAGTTGGTTCGAGGCCAGATACGGGCTTGTTTCGTGCCGGCAGGGACGTTGATTTGCCATGTTTGGCCTTTGTCAAGCCTCTGGCCGCCACCGGGCACGGCTGCTGCCCAAACTGTGTAGGGACAGTTGTTTCGGACATCAAAAGTGGCTGCATGGGTGGAGGTGAAAATGAGAGAGATGAGAAGGAAAATGGAAATGGAGAGAGACTTGAAGAAACTCATATTTGGGACTCTAGAGATTGAGAGGGAGATGGGTTATGACTACTTAGGTTTTGTGCTTGTGTAGTGTTTGTGAGGGAAAGGGTGGGGTATTTATAGTACGAGCATAGATAGAGGTGGGTGTAAGACTTTAATTGTATGGTTAATTTTGTTGGAAATTTTGACAGAGTTTTCAGTCTTGGCTTTCACTTGTCTCCAGGTCAGGGATGGCCGGCATGATCTATTCCACAACAAAAACTTCAAGTGGTAGCTAAAATTAGTTTGGATGATTTTTTTTTCCATTGATTGAAAACATGATAAAATAATAAAAATTACATGTGTCATATTTTCATTTTTATTTAAAAAAAATAAAGTATTAAAATAAATAAGTTTCAATATAATAGTTGTGTGTTTGTGTATATATAGAGAGAGAGAGAGAGAGTGAAAGCAATGATATAAAACTCAAATGAAATTCAAAAAGTTACAATTTTGCATATCATTCTTTAGATGAATAGTTTTTTTTAACTTTTTCAGTGGAACTTACTCATCGAACACTCATTCAAGGGATGATATGTATTTAAATTTTAACTTTTGAATTCTATTTAAGTTGTGTAATATTTTATATATGTGTGTGTGTGTGTTGTTACGTAGAGGGTGGGCATTAACTTTCTCGAATTTGCAGCCTTGGTTCAATGTTTAATTTTTTGATAGTTTCAGAATTTTGTGAAAAATTTTTTTTTTTTTTTTTTTTTGTGAATTGGATTTCTATCACTTGAATTTTGGACAATTTTGAAATTGGTTCACACTCGAAAACATGTAATTGAAAGATTTAAGAGATGAGATTTTTGAGACGACATAGTCCAAGTTGTTAGGTTGGTTTAAGGCAAATTCAGCTAAGGTGTTTGGGGGTGAGCCATAGCCTTGGCATTCAAGGCGACCACAGTCACCGGTATCGCATTTGCCTTGGCCATTAGCATCAAAGTTGCAATTGGTTCGGCCCCAAATACGAGCCTGGATCGTGCCAGGGTTCACATTGATGTTCCAGGTCTGGCCTTGGTCGAGTCGCCTGCCTCCACCGGGGGAGGCAGCTGCCCAGACGGTGTAGGGACATCGGTTTGTGATATCAAATGTTGCTGCATTGGTGAAGGTGGAAGTGAAGTACAGGGTAAAGAGAAGGGAAAAAAACACATACATTGTTTTAGTTAAGCTCATAGTGGTAGTTGGTATAAAGTGGATGAAGGTTTGGTTATGTGCAAGTATGATGGTTTTGTGTATGTGAGCCAAAGGGCTGGGGGAGTTTATATAGAGGAGTGGAGGTCTTTATGTGGCATTTACGTGGTCATTTCCACCATAAGTTTTTCAAAGGAAAATTAGAGGTTTTGTTGGACTTTTCTTCATGCACTAGAAGACATGAGTCAAGGAGTGAAATGTGTCCATTAGGAGGAGTTTTAGTTAGGCCAATCTATTCATGTATTCATTTTGAATTTTTTGACAGCAGGCAATGATATCACCTCTTGAATGGAACCCTTGCTAATTATAAGAATTTCATACCCAGTCATTCAAAGGGTATGATCCTTTCTTCTATATGTGAATAGGCTAGTCCCATAATCGACAATCGAATCTCTTAAAAAAATAAAAAAATGTCACACAAAGTATTGCAACGTATCAATTAAATGAGTCCTAGAAGTCCCGTCTTTACCTTGATTGTTACGTCCTCCATACATGTTATTTACATAAAAGAGCTAGCTCATGTGGGGAGGAAAAAAAAATCAGAAGGGAGATTAAGCCATTTCAATATGAAAATCATTCGAATGACATTTTTTCAGATAATAACAAAAGCAAAAAAAAAAAAGAATTACTACTGTGACCCTATACTTATAATGCCAAATATAAACAGAAAAAAATCTCAGGCTCCATAGAGGAGCCAGTGAAAATGAACCCTTGGCCGTTTCCACATACATTGAGACTTGACTAATTAACCTAACAGTCCAAGTGCGATTTGGGAATTTAACGAAACGGGCATAAATCTAGACCGTCCATTCGTGTCAATATCTCTTGTCTAATGTTGAAGATCACCATAAATTAAACTCACATGGACTGCAAAAATAAGAAAAAGTCAAGAACAAAGTTTAAGTGAACCACGTAGCACCATCATGGTGGTATGTGACCATTTTTACAGTCGTAGAACACGACGTAGAATTAAATCTCCCTATTATACGCTAGTCAATTGATTTTAATAATAAAATTGGAAAGTGATAATACATATAAGATAAACATCGAGTGCGATAAAAAAATTAGGTTGAACTATAAGATCCTAATTTTTTTTTTTTTTTGAAAATGGTCCTAAAATTTTTACAATGATGCTGTTTGTACTTAATTTGAGAACTAAATACATTAGATAAATAATATATTTTGTTTAAAGTTTGCACTCCCTACTAATTCAATTGTTAAAATCTATTGAATATTTAAATTATATCACAATATCTAGATTGTACCATAATATAAAATTTTATTTTGAGGCTCTAAATTTTTCTTCTTCTAATTTGGGAGCCCTAGACAATGGCTTAAGTCGCCTATAGGTTTGGGCCGACACTGATAGTCACCGCAAACGATTTAGAATAAAATCTCACTATCTAGATGTTATGGTTTCTTTCTTCTTCACCTCACAAATAAAATAGATTTATCGTTTACGTAATATAATGACAAATAATGGAATGTTACGTAACAATGAAGCGATTTAGAATAAAATCTCACTATCTATATATCATGGTTTCTTTCTTCTTTACCTCACAAATAAGATAGACTTGTCGGTAAAATAATTGACAAATGATTGAATACTACCTAACAATGAAGAAAGAAATTTGGTTTAAATTTGATAGTTATTTCCTATGAAAGGCAAACGTGTCACTTGACTTCGACCCATACATTGATTAATAGTCATAAATCATGTCCCGCATGTTCGGGTAAATGTTCGAGATGCCATTTTTTCTAGACAGAGTTTGGCATGAAGAAAAATAGGAGTTCTCAATTTATGGTTCATTTCTTTTAGTCAGTTGTGGAATAAATCATTTGATCTGTATAAACTCGACCGACTAGTTATTTTACTTTTCAGAAATTCGAATTTTTTTTTAATCATGATGGAGTGGATTTTAATTCAGATTTGGTCTGAATTAAAGTTTGATTAGTCGAACATTAAGTGAAATTGACACGATTAACACGTTTAACTAATAATAGAGAAATACAATACTAATTATTTGTTATTGTTTATTAAGTATTGACATAGTTATTGTACAAAAGAGACATTTTTACTCATTATTATTGTTATGTTTATTAAATTAATTATTAATTTATAAAAAAAAGTATGAACATAGATTCAATTAATTGATAATTGAATCTTAGACTTAAATCTTAGCATTAAGTTGTTCATTCGAGATTTATATGGGTCAACAAAAATATGAACATGAACCCAACATGAAAATAAACAGGTTCATCGATACGACACGATTAGTTAAATAAGTTGGGTTAAGATTGATTAGTGCTCGACACAAACCTGCAATGAGATGCCATGATTTTTTCACCTCTAAAATTTAGTGGTTATTTGACGAAGTTGAGTTGAAATAAAGCCGCAATTTTTCTAAATTCAAATACGAATATTTTTGGTTTTTAAACCTCACCAAATTCAAATATTAAGTCTCAAAATGAACTTTTTTGTATGATTGGATTGAATTTTTTGAATTTGATTCGGATACGGATTCGGAAGAGTTGAGATCCCATCTATATTCAATTCATATTAGGCCTTGGATGGGGTACCTTATGGGTTCCAATAGGATGGGGTCTATTACAAATTCAATAATAGATTGGAAGTAGGATTCAAATAACATTGTTTTTTTTTTTATCATTTTTGAGATTAGAAGAAGACATAATAAACTTTATCATAAATCGGTGACCAATCTCGTGTTTGAGGTTTTCTAACTAAGTGCTCTTCCCCTATTCAAAACTCACTTGTGAAATATTTCACACCTGAAAGAAGCCTAGCTTGTAGTTTGTATTTAATTAGTAACTATTTAAGATTGTCCATCCTTCTCGAATGCTATATTTAATAAAAATAGCTACGCAGATCGAAAAAAGAGATAACAAATATAATCTAAATGGTGCAACAACTGATATGTTCCGTATATTTTAAATTAATAAAAGTGAGACAAAAAATATTATTATTATAATATTACTTTTAATCATCTTTAGGATAATTAGAAGCATATGGAACATCTATCTTTGAAAAATCTCGAATATAGTCACGTGGCATCTTGTTTGAGTCATGTGCTTGGGGTGCGTGCATTCTTTAAAATTGTAAATCGAGCTATTTGTTGTCGACACTAATTTAATTTATAATAATGAATCATGTCATTTTGGAATTATTAATTTTTGGAACTATGCGTGGAAAAAATTGCTACCCCTATCAAATATGAACCGACAGAAACGAAAACCCTTGGTATAATGTAATTAAAGGTGATGAGCCCAGACTTAACTGAGTTAGGCCCAATTAATGAGCTAAGCCCAAATCAGCTACAAGATGGGTCAAGCCCAATTTATGAATTCGGCCCAGTCTAGAGTTTAAGGAGTCCAGAAGGATTACAGTACGTGGGGAGCAATTATTGGGATATTCACTCTCAAAGATCAATGCATCTTTTAATTGTACTTACCTTTTGTAGCTCCCCAAAGATCTAGTACCTTTACCCTCACGTCACTGCCTCAACTAAAGTTTTGTGCCTATAAATTGTAAATTCTCTATACACATCCCACACATAGTTTTTTTTTCTCTCTTAGCTATTGTATCCTTCCCAGGGCTAACTATTGTTCTCTCTTGTTTACCTTACTTAATCAATAAAAGGTCCTCAGGTCACTGTTGCCATTTTTCGGAATGGAGCAGGACACCTAAACCGAACTATTATATATCTGCGTGTTGACCTAATTTTTACATTATTGTCATTGGTTGCTCTATTAATTGTTCATTAATTACACTTTATCACACACTCGACTTTTGATCTTACATAAGACCGTTTTATACATCATCAGTTTGACGCCGTTTGTGGGAAGCGATTAAGTTTTCTACTACCTTACTACTCTCTTTCAAATACATGGTGATCACGACCAGGTCGATGAGTTAACAACTGGGAGAAAACAACTCGGCCTAATAGGAGGAGGCTTCGCCTTTGCTTGCTCCCGCAAAACCATCCATTGCGGCGACTCCCGTTGTTGGGCAACAACTTTTACAGACCATGTAGCTGTTGGTAAACCAAAACCAACAAATCATCCAGTTGATGCTCACTCGAGAGGCGTCGCCCCTCAGCCTCTAGGAGGAGCACCATTCCCTTCGATGAGAGAAGCACTACAATCTCTCCATTCTGGGCGCCAAGCCGTTGCCCACTATGGGGCCCCGCGCCAGAACACCCCCGAGCAGCACCAGGGTGCCCCTTGCCCGGGAGTCTACATCACCACGGGTGTTCTGGTCGTCTACATCGCCACAGAAGTCTCGGGAATTTATATCATTGTGGGAGTCTCGGAAGTCTACACCGCCATGGGAGTCCCGGGAGTTTACACCACCATGGGAAGTCTTGGGAGCTACAGCGCCACGGGAGTCCCAGGAGTCTACACTGCCATAGGAGTCTACAACGCCACGAGAGTCTCGGGAGTGTACACTGCTACAGGAGCCCTGGGAGTGTACACTACCACGGGAGTGTACACCGCTACGGGAGTTCTAGGAGTGTTCACCGCCACGGGAGTCTACATCGCTATTGGAGTCCCGGGAGTCTACACCTCCACAAGAATCCCGGGAGGAAGTATCACGCGCCTCTGTGCTCGCCTGCTCAGCACATAATGCCTCTACCCACCATGAGGCAAGCCCAGACACAATCCCGAGATAGCTCGACGTCTCGGAGACAGCTCCATATGCCTTGGGAGATTACATTCTGAGACTAGAGGCGCCCAACTCCTTTGTGCCTACTCCATGGGAGCCCTCTGCACCCTCGTTACCATCTACTGTATCATGTTAGAGACTGTACGTGGATGAGTCATCCACCAGCGAGGATGACGGCGCAGGAATAGTGCTGATGGCCCCCCATGGCACTCCACTCAAGTACATTGTCTCCTTCCACTTAGCAATATCCAACAACCAAGCTAAATATGAGAACCTCAAATCAAGCTTGAAGCACGTGCCAACCAATGCCCCAGCGCCCAGCACCAGCGCTAGAAAGTGCCAACACCTGCCTATGTAGTGGCGTCACCCGGATAGCTTGCAAGGTGTCGATCAGGGTCACTGCCTGCCTAGTGATGTCGCCCAGACCACCTGCTACAAGCGTTGCTCAGACCACTCGGCTCCAAGGTGTCGCCCATAATCTTTAGCGTGCACACCAGTGCTCAGCGCTTAGCACCAGTCAATGCCAGCCAGCCAACGCCAGCGCCTGCCAACTAGCGCCCTAGCCTACGTCACCTATGGCCATTACTCAATGGTGTCGCCCAGTCACTGCCAGTGGCGCTGTTCTTTGCCTCTAGCTGTGGTGTCGCCTAGTTAGCCCATGGTGTCTCCTCTTANCCCTAGCCTACGTCACCTATGGCCATTACTCAATGGTGTCGCCCAGTCACTGCCAGTGGCGCTGTTCTTTGCCTCTAGCTGTGGTGTCGCCTAGTTAGCCCATGGTGTCTCCTCTTATCGTCCACAACTTTGTCGCCATCGCACCTAGCCTTACTCGATGTTCATGCCCAACAGCGTCCATCACTCCTCGATGTCTGTGCCTCATGGTGTCCAACGCCCCACGGCGTCCTCGCCTAGTGGCGTCAGCTTCTCAATCTCTAGCTTAACGGCTCTCACGAGAGTCACCAGAAATCTTGACCTATTTGTGCCTCTACTCTGATGCAGACAATTTGTATCTCCAGATTAACGGCTTTCTCGCGAGTCGCCAAAAACTTGGCCTATCTCTACTCAGCTTTCAAGCAGACAACCTATATTTCTAGTTTAGCGGCTCACACGAAAGTCGCGAAAATTTTTGTCTATCTTTGTTCTACTATTACGTAGGCAACCTATATCTCCAACTTAGCGGCTCTCATGAGAATCGCCAAAAGCTTAGCCTATCTCTGTCTCTGCTCTCACGCAAACGACCTATATCTCCAACTTAGCGGCTCTCATGAAAGTCACCAAAAGCTTGACCTATCACTGCTCTGCTATCACCCAGTTTTATGCTGTCCCGGTGTTGCCCAAGTTCATACCCATGGCGCCATTCGCCAAAGCATCTCTATCTCTACGCGTCGAAGCATTCATTATTCTCTTAATCCTTTCTCTAACAATGGCGTTACCAAATAGATAAATAAATTTAAAAAATGTCATGGATGAAAAGTTGAAGAAGCCACCACATAGAATAAGAAATATGTTCTACCCAAAGGAAGGAGCTCAATCATGCCCTCAACCCCTAATCACTACTAGGGCTTAGGGCATAGAGGGCAAACGACGAGCCCAGATTTAATTGGGCTAGGCGTAATTAATGAGCTAGATCCAAAATAGCTACAAGGTGGGTCAAGCCCAATTTATGGATTCGGCCGAGTTCAGAGTTCAAGAAATCTAGAAGGTTTAGAGCACGTGAGGAGCAATTATCAGAATATTCACTCTCAAAGATCAATGCAACCTTTAATTGTACNAGCTACAAGGCGGGTCAAGCCCAATTTATGGATTCGGCCTAGTTCAGAGTTCAAGAAATCTAGAAGGTTTAGAGCACGTGAGGAGCAATTATCAGAATACTCACTCTCAAATATCAATGCAACCTTTAATTGTACGTACCTTTTGTAGCTCCCCGAAGATCTAGTATCTCATACCCTTATGTCACGACTTCAACTAAGGCTCTATACCTATAAATTGTAATCTCTTTCTACATGAGATGAGACCTTTACACATCCCACACATAACTTTTACCTCTCTTAGTTATTGTATNCTTTTGTAGCTCCCCGAAGATCTAGTATCTCATACCCTTATGTCACGACTTCAACTAAGGCTCTATACCTATAAATTGTAATCTCTTTCTACATGAGATGAGACCTCTACACATCCCACACATAATTTTTACCTCTCTTAGTTATTGTATTCCTCTCGGGACTAACCATTGTTTTCTCTCTCTCGTTCACCTTACTTAATCAATAAAAGGTCCCCCAGCCACCGTTGCCCTTTATCAGAGTGGAGTATGTCACCTGAATCGAATCACTATATATCAGCGTATTGACCCGATATTTACATTATTATCATTGATTGTTTTATTAATTGTCTATTAATTGCACTTTATCACACACTTGACTGTTAATCTTGCGTAAGACCATTTTGTGCATCATCAAAAGGGACACTTTCGATTTGTCCCTTTAACATCCTTTATTCACTTGTAATCATAGAACAAGACTACATGTCTGCATGTATAGCAACATATCACATGCACATCATTACACATGTGCATGAATTTATTACAATACCTTAGTATATGAAAATTGTAAGCATCTAATCACTTTCTCATATAGTCATGAAAGGATAGAGCTTCATGGGCAAAACACCACCCTGTAGTTGGTGCCACTAGGGCAAGTGAACAAGCTTGTTTCATCATCTGGAGGGTACCTATAAGCATCTAGGCACCTATCCTTGAAGAACCTGGAGTAATCAGTAGGCCCACAGCTCCCTGGCCCATCGGTGCAACAATATTAGTTGATTGGGAACACTGTGCAAGGGTTGTTGCAGCCACCTGGAGCCCGTAACTTGGCCGGACACTGGTCGTTGATCGGAGCAATACATTTGAGATCACGACACACATCGGTGGTGGGGCCGAACTCCATCGGAATATTGAAACACCATTGATAAGAGATATGTCGACATAGTCCAAGTTGTTAGGCTGGTTTATGACAAATTCAGCTATGGTGTTTAGGGGTGAGTCATAGCCTTGGCATTCGAGGCGGTTGTTGCAGTCATTAGTCTCACATCTGCCTTGGCCATTGGCATCAAAGTTGCATTTGGTTCGGCCCCAAATATGAGCCTGTGTCATGCTAGGGTTCACATTGAGGTTCTAGGACTGGCCCTGGTCGAATCGCTTGCCTCCACCAGGGGAGGAAGCCACCCAGACAGTGTAGGAACATTGGTTTATGATATCAAATATGACTTTGCATTCAAGACTCTTACAGGGGCAATACAAGTTGAAGATAATCCAATTCAGGGGCATCTCCAACAACAACATGACCCTTCTCCTATCCAAGAAGACGGTTGTTTTAGACTGCCAGAGTCTGGCATGCCCAACTTTTTCCATAATGATGTTCCAGCTCAAGTTGATTCACCCGAGAAACATGTGCCTATAGAGCAGTTCCCGTTGAATCCTGCGTTTGTGCCCCATGGAAATGCTAACACCAACGCCAACTTACGCGGCTACAGCTGGCTTCGTCCTCAGCAACCTATCTTGGACCCGAGGACCAGCAACATCAGACAAGGGTGAGAGTAAGAGGTTGGCATATTTTACCCTCTAGGTGCGCTAGCTTATGAAGCTGAAAGATGGATAATTTTTTGCAGAGAACATACAGCTTGCTAGCTATAAACTTAGGGTGCAACTTGGGCGGACAAACCGATTTCAACTCGAAAAAATTAAGACTTGAGTTAGGGTTTTTAATACTTGGGTTGGACTTGAGTCAAAAAATCACAACCCGAATTCAATTTGGGCGGGTCTCGGGTTGAACCCGAATATTTATAACCATATAAATACTTTTTTAAGTCTAGAATTAATCTATTCTGAAGTCTTCATTGTGCGTCTCCCTCACTCACTCTAAGTCTTAGATCCGTTTTTCATTCTCTCACTACCATTCTCAGATCTATCTCACTCTCAGATCCCTCTCACTTGCGCCTCCTCCCTCTCTTAGCTAGCCTCCTTCTTCGTTGCCTCCCTCTCTCAGACTCCTTATCTCAGATCAATCGACTCTCCCTTCATCTCAATCGACTCTCCCTTCATCTCAATCAAAAAAAAATTAGATCTACACTTTAAAGGAGATCTCATCTCAAAGCAAATCTACCGTCTACGCCTCTCCCTTCATCGATCTTAGATCAGATCAGATATGCAATTTTTATTTTTATTTTCACATTTTCAGAGTCAATTTTCAGACCTCTTTTCACTCTCAGTTTATTAGAAAACATGCTCGATATTTTGATCACTCTATTTCTGATTATTTATCTATAGTTAAGAGTCTTAGATGCAATTTTTTCAGAGTTTATATTTTAGATTTTGTTCAGAGTTAATTTTTAAATTTTGTTCAGAGTTTATTTTAGATTTTGTTCAAAGCTAATAAATGTTTTTGGAGTTATTTTTTTCAGTGTTTATTTTAGATTTTGTGCAAGTCTAATATTTCACTTTTAGCTGTATAAATTGACCATTTTTCTGTTCTTTGATTTTATGGCATAGTAAATCAATACATGTCACTAATGGGGGAGACAGAGACAAATGTTGAATCTCTGGCTAATCTTGCATCTGAGCCTGCTTCTGGCAACCCTGATGAGAGGAACTCGGTAAGTCCCAAACGCCAAAAAACTTATGTTGAAAAATCTGATGTTTGGCTTGATTTCACAAAAATTCAAAAAGAAGATGGGTCAAAACCTGATTTGTTAGGGTTGAATGTCCGGGTGTTGGAGATTCATCTGTTTTGCTTCATGGATGACAGTGGTTGTGTAGTGGTTGCAATGGGCAGTGGTTTTGTTGTGGTAGCAGTGGCAACAGTGGACTGGTGGCAGTAGTAGGCAATGGCAGCAGTGAACTCTATATTTCTGTTTGTGTTTATTTTTGTTAAATTGGTTCTGTGCAAGGATTCTGTTTGTATTTGTCTATGTTTCTGTTTGTGTTCTGTTTCTGGTTGTGCAAGGATTCTGTTTGTGTGTCTATGTTTGTGTTTGTGTTTTGTTTATTTCTATTAACTTGTATGGTTATGGTTGTATTATCTCAAACATTGAGTTCTTAATATTATGATTTTTATGTTAAAAATTTGATTAAAGTTGTTGGTTGTTAATTTAGGTGAATATTATGTAACATATGTATTAGGTTTAAAACAACAAGTTTATTTTGGACTTAACCCGAATTTAACCCATAAAGTAGTTCAAAATCATTAACCCGAATTCAACCCGAGCCCACCCGAATTAAACTCGGGCAGTGTTCGGGTTGAATCCCTTAACCCGGGGTAGGGTTAGGGTTGAAAATTATATACCTAGGGTTGACTGTCCAATCCGCCCGAATTGCACCCATAAGTATTGGCACCTGTTAAATATTTTCTTTCGAATCTGTGCTTTTTCCTATATCCTTTAATGTGGTAATCGATACCTTTGAATCTTGAGATGCCACCAGGTTTGAAGCCAATCGTGGAAAAATAATTCAGCTGTAATATGTTGTGGTTGCTTAGAAGAAGCAAGATGAGAGAAAATTAAAAGATAAAAGAGATTTCCAACACTACAAGAATTCGGATTTTTTAAGACATTTTTTGTGGTAGGTTTGATCACC